CAAGCCTTGACCCAAGGGCGAGAGTAAGAATCAAAAATCTCTGAACTTCTCTCCACCCTCTCTCTCTTTCTCCCTTATCCCTTACCTTGTGTCCCGTTCCTGGGACCTTTAACTCATTCGTCCCATGAAGGTGAAAATTTGCCTTAAGAGGAAAAAAAAAATCTAAGCAAGGAAATGAAGGGAGGGCAAACTGAAGAGTGATGTGGAAGAGATTTAGGCTCAGCACGAGGAAACCCTGAGGTGGCCACTTGCCCAGCAGAGGCGGGAGGTCATAGAAAGGAGCCCATGCTTCTTCTCTGTGGAGCTGTTTGTCCTTGTCTTATGTAGAACTTCCTTGACACTTTTTTTCTCATTTCCCTTGGTGAGGTTTTTTTTTTCTTCCCAGTCCCAATAATCCTTACCCATCTCCCTTTCCACATAGAACTTTTAAAAAGTGAGTAACTTAAACGTAACTTTTAACAGAGGCACAGCAAGTCACCTGATTGCCTCAGCCACTTGGGACTGTAAATTACCAAATAGATGTCACTCTGCATTGGAACACACACACAAAAGTTGTTTTAAGACTTGGTAGGATCTTCCAGGTACAGCTGTTTGCTGTCTCCTGTCAGCCAGATAGGAATCCCTCTAGACGAAGGACCTGTAGTGATCTCAAACAAGATAATATGTGTTCTTTTAATTCATGGCCTCTGGACTCAGGCATCTTTCTGTATCTTTCCTCCTCCTCGTTTCAGATTTTGCAGAAAGAAGGCCCCTGAGGCTGTGCGGGTGCTGCTGCCAGAGGAGACTTCCTCAGCCGTATGTAGGAGGTTCAGTAAAGCTAGCACATGGGCAGGGTGGGTGGGGGAGACAAAGGGATCCCACTAGGATGCAGAAGACACTGTGAGAGCTGCTTCCCCTCACTGGAGACAGAACTCCTCCTCTTGTGTTTATCATGGTGGTGTTGGTGATATGTGTCACAGGTCCTGAGGAGTGCAGAGGATATTGCTGTAGGTCTTGCAATGGAGAAGGCCTGCTCTTGGTTATCAGCCAACATCACAGGTAAAGTCCTGGGGGAGTGAAGAAATGACCGAAGTCCAGAATGTGTGGAAAGGCCTGGCTTAAAGGTTGGCTTAGGTGACTCTTCTTTCTTGCCTGTAGCCCTGATCCGGAGGGAGGTGAAAGCCGCTCTGAGCAGAACACTTCGAGCCCAGGGTCCTGATGTAGCTGCCCAGGGGGAGAGGAGGGGCTGCTCCCGTGCCTGTGAGCACCATGCTCCCCTCCCCTCCCACCTCATCTCCGAGATCAAAGTACACAGCTCCCCTTGCCCCCATTGCCCCTCTCATTACCTCCATTCTAGTATTCAAAGATGCAGCTCTCTCCCATTCCCCTGGGTTATTCTCCATTTCTTCCATTCATCAATGAACTCTATTTATTTGATAAGTTGCCTTCTGAATTCCATTCCTATTATTCTTGGGTGTCTAGAAGTGGGAAATGGAAAATACAGCCCACTAGCCAGATTGATGCCACACATCAGGTGCAAGTAGGAGAGTGAATGTTAGCAAAGGATTTAAGGGGGCAGTGGTTCAGAAATGTGGTATTGTCGGGATGGTCTGGAAAAGAATAACAGATATGTAAAGGTTTGGAAAATAGGATTGAGTAGGAAAGGAGGGAGAAGAGAAAGCTGGAGAGGCCTTCAGTATAGAGAGAGGGGCTGGACCAGCTATTTTCTCACTCCAGGAAGGACAGAAAAAGAGGAAAAGAAACTAGGAGAGCTTAAGATGCCTGGAAGGATTATCAAGAGATCCTTCTCTCCTTCCCTGTCCTGTTTAAGGAATAGGTAGAACTGCCCCTGGGAGAATGATTAGCTTTGGCCCTACCCCAGCCCTAGAATAAGGGGGGGAGGAGGGGCCTTCTAGTGCTATAACCTTTTCTTTCCAAGCCACTGCTTAGGCCTCTGCCCACCTCTTGACCTTAGCTGCCCCCAGTTCTTGAGCAGTTGCTCTGTTTAGTGCAGTCAGGGGACCCAGGAGTTGTTCTCGTGCCCCTTGTGATGGTTCTCCCTCCCTGCCCCCCTTTCCTTCTGTAGGATGTGCTCGCTCTCACTGTGGGGCCCCGGGATCCCGAGGAGGGAATTACCCCAGAGCAGCTGGAGACACTCCTGCGGCAGCTGAAGGAGATGCTTCAGTGCCGGCAGGTGAGACGGGACTCAGCTGGGGAGATGCTTTTAGTTGTTCTGGTTGCTGATGTTCAGTTCCCTTCCTCCCCCTCTTCTTGATCTTTACAGTTCCTGTGCCCGATCTCTGAGCAGCAGCTTGCAAAGTGCTCTGTGGAATTGGCCTCTTTTCTTGGTACGGCATCCCAGCTCCTCGGATGTGTGCGCTTGTGCACTGCAGCCCCAGATGGAGGGAGGGAAGGGACCTTGAACAGATGCCCACATTGGATGTTCCCTGGAAAGGCCCAGGGACTGCCTCCCTCTTTCCCTACAGTTGCTGACCAAGTCCCAACCCTGGGGCCTCCAGGCCCACACAGGCTGGAAAGGGGGGAAGCCCGAGGACTTCTGCAGATGCTTCTTTCCCTCTGGCATGAGGACTTCCAAGTACCTGTTCCACTGCAGCTGCTGCTCAGTCCAAGAAACGTGGGACTTCTGGCAGATACACGGCCGAGAGAGGTGGGTCCCTGGCGTCCTAGAGCTGATTCTGCAGCATAGGTCTCTGCCTCGATCTGTACCTCTGGCCTTTGTCTAACATGACTCTTGTGTTGCAGTGGGACCTGCTGTTGTTTCTGCTTCGGGGACTGGTGGACCGGGGGCTAATGGGAAGGGTGGAGATAGAAACCTGCCTGAGGAGTCTCCACCAGGCGCCCTGGCCTGAGGTAAGGTATCTTGGCTCCATCTTGGGGGGTTCAGACTGGTTTTTGATCCTGAATGAGACTACAGGCTTAGGAGTTGTGCTAAGATTGGGTTGTTAGAGGAAAGTGCTAAACTGGGGAGATAACAGGATTGAGTTGTCCAAAGCCAGATCATAATAACCAATAGCTAGCATTTTTATATAGTGCTTATTATGTGCTTTACAATTAGCCCATTTGATCCTCACAAATACCCTAGGAGGTAAGTGCTATTATTATTCCCATCTTACAACTGAGGAAACTGAGGTAAACAGGTGAAGTGACTTGCCCAGGGTCACACAGCTAGGAGGTGTCTGTGGGGCTGGATTTGAACTCAGGTCTTCCTGACTCGAGGCCCAAATGTTCTATCCACTTACTGCATTACCTAGCTTCCCAGTTCAAAACCATATATACAGTGACTCCTAAGCCTTCTATCAGAGCCACTCTCATCTTTGTTTTGGGCCCCCCAGGGAAGAAATGGGAAGAGATTTCAGGTCAAACCTGAAGGGAGCCAACAAGGATGATGTCACTTGGTCACTGCTGACACCTTTGAAACTGATAAGAATTTGTCTTTTATTGCCATTCCCTATACCTTCCCCTCCCCCTAGGACTTCTCTGAGGAGCTCGCAACACTGTCTTGCCTATTTCTGGCTGAGCCACAGGTACCAGGACCCCGGCTAAGAGCTTGTGAGTTGATGAGACCACCTCGTGGGACTGTGTTGGCCCAGAGTTAGGGCCAGTAAATGAGGTCCTGCCTTTGAACTCACAATCAAAAGCTCTGGCCCTCAGCAGACTTACAGCTTCCGTGAAGGAACCAGGAGCCTAGCCCTGTCCTGCAAGGAGCTGTCCACCCAGTGATCCTTACCAGAAGGTGGAAAGGAGAAGCATCCTGAGCCACCATCATCAGTCCCAGTGGACAAAGGTGAGGAAAGTCTTCACATTTCCTACCCAGAGCTCTGGAGAAAACAGAGTCTTATCTTCAGGACAAAGGTGACGAGAGACCAGGGGCCCCTCTACCAGGGAAGAAGAGGAAGCTTTTATCACTTTGACTCTTCAACAGAATGATATGCCAATGGATGTTGTGAGAGAGAGAGAGTTTGGAGGGGTCAGCCATCTTTCCCAGAAGCTTCTTCGGACTTTGTGGTTTTAGAAAAGCAGGAGACTGACTTCTGCTCATATATTAGGAAGATTAAAAAAATGTAGGTAGAGCTTTGGGAGTTTCAATTTCCTCAGCTCTGTGCCTAGATATTTTTTTCCTCAAAATGCATCATGGATACCAGCAACAGACAACACCTCGCTTGTATAAAACCCAGCTTTACCAACAGGCCCAGTTTCAGGCAAGCCAGGCTGGGCCTGATCTTATTTAAATGCTATCTATCTATGAACCAGGAAAGGAAACCCATGGGGGAGGAGGAGGGAGTAGATTTTTTTAAAAAATATTAAATACCACTTTGTCAAAGGACCTGGTGTTCTAGGGTTATTTTAAGTCTCTTCCTTCCAAAAGATAAAGGGCCACAGAGACATGGGGTTTGAAAGTATGTGGATGCCCCTATAATCAGTAGCTTTGGGAGAACAAACAAGGGTTTGTTCTTAATTGTTGAAGTTGAACTTCCACGGCTCTCAGCCTTCTGAGCATGAAATTCTGAACTGGGCCGAGTAGGAGACCTGGTACTTCGATACACACATTGCCTTCTCTACAGAGAAAAGGCCAGGACAGTATGGGCTCTAATTTAGGGGTTACACTTTTCATTCACTCACCATGGGCACTTCCAGGATCATCATGGAATTACAGCTAGAAGATGAACAAACACCAAGACTGAAAGAGTGCTTATCCTTTGGCTCAGGGAAGAGGTAGACACTTTCTCCTTCATCTCAGACCCCAGCAGTCAAAGTCTGAATGGCTCAGTACCAGGACCAAGATTTCAAGGCAAGAGGGCTACTCCTACTACCCACAGAGGGACAGGAGTTGCTTTTGAAAACCATCTTCCCTCACTGCTCCAGACTCCATCAAAATGCTCTGGGATTTAGCTCAGTGTAAGACATAGAAAAGCTATACACTCACCCCCTTCCCAGCTGAGCTAGGAGTGGAGCCCAAGATAACAAGGTCCTGAACACAGTCACAGCCTTTGGATCAGAAGTTAAGCTTGCTGAGCTAACAGCCAAAGGGGAAAGGCCTTTATTTTTTTCTAGCAGTGGCCACATCCACAAGAAGTATCCTTGACCTGGGAGACAGGCATCCTGATTCCCAGAAACTCAGATGACTAACAGGTTGACAAAGAGCTCTGATAGGCTCTGATTAACACAATTACTGTCACCTTTTATTCCTTCAATGAATTTAAATTTTGAATTTCATTTTTGCATTTTAAAAACTTTAATCCCTGCCAGTTGTGAAAGTAGATTGGCACTGGTCCATCCACTCATTTCTGACAACATTGTAAACTGACTTGTCAGATGAAGTCAGCTCTTCATCACTGACCAGGGCAAGCATTGCACAAGAGGCCCTCAGTATGCCCTCGTTGGATTGGGCTAAATGACCTTTATGGGGAATGCCAACCGTTTGACACTACTACCTGAACTACAGTCAGTAAACTGCATTCCTTGGGCCAAACCTAACCCGCCACCTGTAATGTTTAATATATCTTAAAACCATTCTTAGCTCACAGGTCACATGACCTGGCCTATATGTAACACAAGGTTAGCCTTCATAATCTAAACACACACAGAGTTCCCATATTTCTAATGTTTCTGACCAAATATAGCCATTAGTCTAGTAGTGACAAATATTTGAAAAGGGATGGGGGATAGAGTGGTACATAAATAAGAATTTTAATATCAACTGTTGATTGTATTGCTTAAAAAATAAAGTTTAAAAACAGCTTTAAAAAAAAACCTGCAATCAATAATACAAATAACTTAACCTGGAACTATAGTAGAGGAGGAGAAAGTGTGGAGGTGAGGCAAGGAGGCCTGTAAAAGCCTTAAAAAAATAAAATTTTGCCATACTGTACAGAACTTGCCCTTTACCCACACTTGTCCCCATTCTGGCTAGTCCCAGTATAATCTGCTACCAAGAGCTATTCGGTACTGAAATAAGGGAATGGCCTACCCACTTTGACCCTTATGACAAAATGGGAGGTAGTCATGTAGGAAAGGGGAAGACAGAATAAGTGCTACTCTTCCATTCCCCCTCAGCTTGGCCCTGGAAAGTAGGTAGAGCCAGACTAAAGCTGAATCTGGGACATGGGGGATGAGGTGAGGTGAAGCCTCTCCGTCACCTTTCCCATTTAATGAGTTCTCAACTAGACATGCCTCTGGTTCCTGGTCAGGGCTCCTTCACTCTGCCTATTTGAGGGCCCCATGTTGATCCTTAATAAAAGCTCATTGCTTTACAGCAGAATGAGCATCTACTTGAGGGATGTTGGTGACAGGAAACCAGAAGATCGTCAGGGCTGGCTGTTTTTTTCAGCCAGAGGGAAGGCAGGCCGAGAGGAGAGGAAAGAACAAAATTAGTACAAATCTGTGAATGTCTAAGACTGGAGGAAAGGATTCTGAACTGCCTTCCTGGTGAGGACATGTCTGTTCCTCAAAGCCCTTCTCGTTCTATCTAGTTTCTCAGGGGCCTCACTCCTATCCCTACCACAAGTCCTTCCCTCCCTCTTCAATGTAGGAGGCAGATTTAAGCAGGGCCTTGGATGCCAATACCTGCTTTGCTCAGCCACGTGAATACAAGCTTATGTGGTCACTGAGTCTGCCACCTCACTAGGAAAAGCCCACCCTTCCCCACCCTTTCACTGAGTTCTCCCAACTCGGTTAGGTGGGACCCAACGATTGGCCCACAGGCTATATGACCCAAAAACCAAACAGAAGAGCAGCTGTGGGGTTGGAGTGTAAGGAAAGGGAGCAGAGAGAGACGAGACTATTTTATGAGGCACAAAATATGATTGGGCCACTGACGCAGAGGTAAGTAGGTCTGGAAAAAGTGGTCCCTTCACTGCACAGCCAGGGCCAAGAGGTTCAGGCCCCCTCATTCTGCAGTGGGGCCACATGTGGCAATGTGTTTATTTGCCAACAATTCTGGACTGTGCTGCTGACTACCCCACCCCACTGTCGCTCTCTCCATGTTGCTGTAAACTCTGCCATAAATCTGCTACAGGGTCTTTACATGGCCACCTTCTGGGCCTGTCTCTCAGTAGAACCATCTCTGTGGGTCTGGTATTAACCACAGAGAAAGGAAGCCAGGTTTGCTATTACCAATGGCTGTTGCTTGGCACAGTGAGTCAGCAGCCCAGGGGGGAGGCCTGGAGCCCCCAGTTCCACCTGAAATAAGAAAGGCAGAAAAGGAAATACTTGATGGTAAGACAAGTGTCTAGGTTAGAATGACATGACTCCTCTGCACGAACCCTAAGTTGTATCTGAGGAAAAAATTACTGTGCCCATAGCTTATACTGCTATTCTCTGTGACCCCTTAGCAGACTGACTTAGAGCCTGGAGAGGATTCTAGGCACTGGAGTTGAGAGCTAGGCTAAACCATATTATATCCTATGTGTCCCAACAAGAGCCTCTTCTCCACCCCCACGTCATAGAGTGATGATGGCTATGACCCCACTGCTAGAAGGCCTAAGAACAGCCAAAGGACCTCTGGCAACCTCTGGCCCAGGAAGGAAATGGTGGCTCTCAGGACTGCAGAGAAGATCATGCCCCTTTCTCTACTCTGAGGGGCCCATTGTCTCCTTAATGAGGAAATATTGAAGCTACTTCTGAATAAAAGCCCCTCACCTATGGCTGATTTCCCCCACAGTCTTAACCAACACTTGGGACCACAACGGCTCCTTTGGGATTTCCATCTCTTTTTTCAGTTAATGGCCCAGAGTCATGGAGCTGGATACAGGTCCGCCAAGTCATCAAGTTACTGCCAAGACCTATGAGACCTCCCAGGCCATGGCCTAGGCCAGCATTAAGTTCTGCCTCCACAAAGCTGCAAGGTATGAGCGGCTCACCTGGACCATATGAATGACTTTAGTAACCTCCTTCCCATCCACAGTGTGAGGCAGCAGGACCCAGGCACTGGGCAAGATCTCCCCACGGATCATGTTTTTGCTGGGCCGTGGCAATGACTTGTCATACACTGACTGAACTACCATAATGGTCAGCTGTCCCTGAAAACAGAGAAGGTATTGGATGCTATCCAGGGGGTCTGGGCAAGGGTCCACATCTTAGCTTTGGCTAGCAGGGCTCTGCCTTGATGACTGTGGTGGCCTCCTGTTCCCCACCGTCCCACAAAGACTGAGCCCCAGAAGCTTCCCCACCCCCTCCACACAAACTGACCTCTTTGGCCTCAGAGCTGACACAGCAGAAATCCCGAGGTTGCTTCAGGCAGCTCAGTGAGGTATTGCTGACCAGGTACACTACAAGAGTAAGAAGTCAGAAGAAAGTCATGCCTTCTCCCCGTTTTTCCCCCTCTCCCTTGCCCTAGGCACTGCATCTCAAGCATCAGAGACCACTGCCCTTCTGCTAAAGGCAGCCTGGAACAGTGAACAGAGCATTTGGGTCTGGAGTCAGGAAGACCTGAGTTCGAATGAAGCCTCAAGAGACTTCCAAAATGTGTGACTCTGGGCATTGCTTTGCCTGTTTGCCTCAGTTTTCCCATCTATAAAAATGGGGATAATCACAACACCTACCCCCCAGGGTTGTTATGAGGATAAAAACAAGCTATGAAACGTACTTAAGACAGTGCCTAGCACACATGAGGAGCCTACTAAACGCTCATTCCATTTCCCCCTCCCCACCACTTCAGCTGGGCTAGACTTACCACAAGATTAAGAAAATGGAAGCTCTGTCACTTTAGATCCCATGGGCACCTGACCATGGAAGAGGGCTACCTTTAACTTCCTTCACCCAGCCCTTGCCCTGCCCTCCCCTCCCCTCTTCCTCATCCTTGTAGGATTCCCATCTTTCCCTTCTTGCTCTACAAAACAAAGGTCTCTGTAGTGTCCAATATGTTAAGCCACACCCTGGCCTTGGGCTCACCCAATTTGATGGAGCTGGTCACCTTCTGATACAACTGGGCAGTCTGGATGGACTTGTCATACAGGGTCCACATCGTAGGATCCCTCACAGCTGCCCAAACTCGAGGGAGTGGCTGAGGCACCACCCCAGCCCCCAAGAAACCATGCCGAGTAGCGGAGGGAAATCCCTTATAATATGTCAGCACATCCTTTTCTTCCCCCTGGTACCTGAGTGAGAGGAGAGAGGCAAGGGGAGGGGGAAGATGGATGGGGTCATTAAAAATGGACCCCAATAAATCTATGCAAGTTTCATTAATGAAGATCTCATCTCCACTACGTTTGAGAAACTGATTAACATTTATAAAAATAAGAGACATTCTTCAATTGATAAATGATCAAAGAACAGACAATTCTAGAGGAAAGAAATCCAAACTAACAATAGCCATATGAAGAAATGCTCCCAATCCCTAATAATTAAAAGAAGCATATACCCTATCAGATTGGCAAATCTGACCAAAAACAGAAATGACAAATGCTGGAGGGGCTGTGAGAAAATAGGCACATTGATGCACTCGCTGGTTGAACTGGGAACTGTTCTAGGCACTCTGAAAAGCAATTTAGAGCCATGCCCAAAAAAGTTACTAAAACTTTTCGTACTCATTGTCTCAGTGACCCACTAAGAGGTCTTCCAAGAAAGAGAAAAGGATCTGTATGTACAAAAATATTTATAGCAGCATTTTTTGTGATGGCAAAAAAAAAAAATGGAAACTGGGTGCAGACGGGTGCTGGACAACTGGAGAAGAGCTAAACAAATCATGGCATATGGATCCAGTGGAATACTGCTATGATAGGAGAAATGATGAAAGGGACCTAAATGAACTGGCACAGAGTGAACACAACTAGCAAAACCATGTCTACTATTAACAACATTGTTATTAAAAAAAAAAAAAAAAACTTTTGAAAGACTTTAAAGAAACTGATCAATACAACAACAAACCATGATTCCAGAGGGCCAACTGAGGATGAAACATGTTACTACCCGCTTTTTGACAGAGAGGGGTTGGACTCAAGGTGCCGAATAAGAAATACACTTTTAGATGTGGCCAATGTGGGAATCTGTTTTTCTTGACTATGATTATTATTGTAAGAGATTTTGTTTTTCTTTTTTTTCCTTTTGCTGTGAGAGGAGGGAAAAGGTGAAGGAAAGTGTTAAATGAAATAAAACAAAATTTCAAAATTACGGAAATGGGCCCCAGAGGGTTATTCAAGGACAAGATCAGAGTCAGGAAAGGCTGGGGTCTTAGATCACAAAGATGGAATGGTGGGGTCATGGGGATGGTGACAGTGAAATGTTGGGGTCAAATTCTGTGTCTTAGGAAGCCCAGGACAGGGAAGTCACAGGAACTCACTTCCAGCCTGCAGTGGCCTGGCAGCTGAAGAGATTCTGGAGGTTGTCGGAACAAGCAGCCATCACCTGAAAGTAGACAATGGCCACACTGAGTTGCCAGGCACTGCTCAATGTGGCTCTCTTGCAATGCAATCTCATTTCCTGGGCACCTCTTCTCCTAACCCACATGAAAGCCCTTTCCCCTCCTCTTCCCTGTCCTCCTTCCTCTCCTCTAGAAAAAAGCCTGGCAGCTGAATGCTCACTTCAGCCATCGTGCTGGTCAGGATGTGCTTGACCAGATCGTGGTAGAGGGTGCACGGGGAGGTAGAAAGGCAGTTGTCCGAATCTGACTGACTGATGAGGGACTTCTGCGGTCCATCAAAGGAGACTTGGTGGCTTTTGCCTCCAGGCTCTGAGAGGGAAGGAAACAGATAAGGATGAGGGACAGCAACATGAAGGGACAGGAACTCTGGAGCAGGAAGCAGCCTCGAAGCTAATGGTTCCCTCACCCTCTTTAGGATCTCTCAGGAAACAGCCCTCAAAGCCAACACACCTTAGCTTCCCTTCTTCCCTACTTACTGTGACCCAAGTTCTTCTGTGCAGGACCCATCATGTAGAGCTTATGGTTTCTCACCACAGAGCGGCCCCGTACATTTCCTCTAGCCATCTCTTTGAAGCCAGATAAGTTAGCATTCCCCTAAAAGACAGAGACACAGGCCCCAGAGAACCCTCAGAACTGGAAGGAGGAGTGTCGAAGTTATGTACTTTTCCCACTGACTTCAACACCCACCTCAAAATTCCACCATAATTATTCACCTGAAATGGCCCAAGAGGGACTTTTTCATTTGGATTGCTGGGATTTGGATGGGGGTAGGTGATAGAAAATGGCAAAAATCTGGACAATTCATTCCCCGGACAATCTGCTCTCTAGTCCCAGGTCCCTAGGGCCACTACAGGTCCATTTCTCTTGGCACTGACCAACCACGCCCCAAAGCCTCCAGTACTGGCCCAAAGTTCACATCAATAAACAGGGCTGGTGGAAGTGACCAGAGCCAGTGGAATTAACCCATTCTCCTCCCTGCCCTGCTCAGCCACCGCGGCAGGGAGCAGAGGGGGGATGTTGGGGAGGGGTGGCACTGAGGTGGGAAACAAACTTAGTAGAACAGGAAGGACATCAAGGAGATGGGTGGGACCCTCCCCTTCTGACCCTGACCATAACGAAGAGATCCATCATTCTGATTCTAGGAGCACTTTTCCCCCATCTTCATAGAGACCACCAACCCCTTTCCTGAAGTCATATCTAACACTTTTTTTTTTCCATCCTGACCCTCTGACCTCTTTGCTGTGACCAGCACTGCTGACCAGCTCTCTCCCTCTCTGTGCTCTCTGACTTTGGTTTCCAAGACAGCAGGAAAGAACCAGGAAGAGAACTGAATACACCAGAGAGAGACAGGCAGTGAGCGGCCAAGACCAAAACTCAAAAGAGTGACTTAAGAGGATTGTCCATCTGCCTCCTCAGTTGCCATAAGGCAGAAACCCAGCTGAATCAGTCCCAGCTGGGGACACCGTCTGGGCATTTCCCCTGCTTTGCCCTCTCTCTGCCCTTTCCCCAGTTCGGTTTCACCATCCTCCTCCTCCCTTACCTGCTTCTCTGAAGGCTGGCTCTGGCTCGCTAAGGTCAGGTTGCTGCTATCATAGCCGGAGGTAGGGCTGGAAGAAAGGCTGTCCATAGAGCTAGTGGTGCAAAGAGTGCTCACACTGACCAGGGTGTGAAGTCTTGCTTCTTCCTGGGGAGAGAAAGGCATTGGGCAACCATCCTTGGAAGCTCCCTTGAAACCCCCAGGAGCTCCCACCCCATTCCAAAGCTCCCCCAACTGCCCCGGGATAGGCAGGTCCATCAGGGTGGGCCAGTCAGGCCACGGCTGGTCTATGTCACGCAAGGCTGTGACCCTGGCTCTCCGAGGCACCAGAGACAGCCAACAGGGGACAGGCTGCAGAAGCACGGATGCCAGCTCCAAGCCCCCGTCACACACACACCCGCTGTAGTTGGGAGACAATCTGTTGGCGGATGCGCTGCTTCTCCTGCTCCGCTCGCTCCCGCAGCCGGTCTCGCGCTCGAGCAATCTCCATCTTGGTCTCCTCCCTGGCCCGCTGGTAGTCTCGGAGCAACACCTCTATGTCAGAGAGCTGGTGACCTCTGGCATCTGACACAGGCTCCGGCTTCCTGAAGGGGAGGAAAGGCGTTCGAGGATGACTCCTCCCCACAGGGATGAAAGACAAGCGGCCCTGACTCAGCCCCATGCCGCACATCCCATGTGAACCTAGACGCCGGTATCTTTGGCGAGGATTACAGCAGGAGCACGAGGAAATGCCAAGCTCTTCACACAACCAGGAAGCCAGAGATCCCACTTCCCTCCCTCCGCACCTCAGCCCACCCCTGAATAGCTTGCTGGTCTCTGCCCAGATGTCCAGAGGGATACAAAGGAGCTCAAAGAACTGACCTGGGGCTCAGGGCCCACATCTAGGCATGCCAGAAATAAAGGCTTAAATAGAACTTAGGAATCCCAGACCCAAATTTGGTTTCCCAAACCTCTAGGCTATAGGTGACTGAAACAAAGCCCATCTGGCTCCACTCCGTTTGCCCTTTTCCCAAGACAACTCTCTCTTCATTTGTCTTTCTGCTTTGTTTATCTCCATCTCCTTTCCTCATCCTTTTCTTATCTTTTTCATGTATGTGTATTATACATATGTGGGATATATTATACATACATTATTATATCATGAGCGATACACATAAATGTATACATATATGTATATATGGATATATCCATATCCACATATGGCAGTTAGGTGGAGTAGTGGATAGCGTGCCAAGCCTAGAGTCAGGAAGACTCATTTTCCTGAGTTCAAACCTGACCTCAGACACTCACTAGCTGTGTGACTCTGGGCAAGTCACTTAACTCTCTTTGCCTCAGTTTCCCTCATTTGTAAGATGAGCTGAAGAAGGAAAGTGGCAAACCACTCCAGTGTATTTGCCAAGACATCCCCAAATGTCACAAAGAGTCGTACGTGACAAAAGAACTGAACAATACGTATAGATACATATACACACAAAGACACCCCCATCCTTTCTTTCACCTATCCCTTTCTTCCAGTTTGATTTGTCTCTTCAACAGAGACAGACCAGAAGGGAAGACTCCAGCGACGCCTCTTTCCCAAAAAAAAAAAAAAAAAGCCAGTCCTGAGAGTCCTTCACTATGGCCGACATTACAAAACTCTGATTCCCACCCTGCCCCCCCCCGTGCCCAACCCCCGCTGGGGGAGCTCTGGGCCCGTCCTTGCCTAGTGGTCTCCACAACATCTTTTCGAAGTTGCTGCAGGTATTCTCGCCGACGGCTAGGCAGGTCAGGATCCCGGACAAGTGTTTCTGGGGTGGGCAGGAAGTTGAGACGCTTCGTAGGGCTGAGGCTGCGGGCCCGACGAAAGTTCTGAAGTCTATCCGACCGCTCTCTCTGGATCACCTCAACGGTCTTCAAGTGCCTAAGAAAGGATGGGATCAGAGACATCTACAACTCCCTAGCACCTAACTAACCCTCCTCTGTCTCCAGCAAGAGAGCCTGAGCCAGCCCTGGACCTAACCTCTCCCCAATCTTGAACCCATGTCCCACACTCATCTCCTCCATGTGGCAGTCTGCAGACCGCTCACCTTGAATGAAGGGTTAAGGGGACCCACCATCCCAGGTAAGAATAACAGGATCTCACAAACAAATCCCAGTTTTTTGGTTTTTCTTTTTTACTTAATCTCTATTGCTATACAACTGAATACTTGGATGGTGAATCTCTTCTTGCCTGTGGTCTCGTCTTCACAGGGCTCATCATTTGAGGAGGAATTTCTATTCCTCCTTTCTCTTTCCTTTTTGAACAAGCCTTTCTCTTGTCCTTGGAAATACTCCAGCCCCACCTCCCCCACCTTTCCCCAGGCTATTAATTTTACCTCTATGATCTTCACAACAACTTTGTCAGTTAGGTGCTATTATTACCCATTTTACAGATGAGGAAATTGAGTTTGAGAGAGGTTAAGGCACAGGGTCATATAGCGACTAAATATCTGAAGCTGGGTTCAAATTCAAGTCTTCCTGTGAGTCCAGGGCTCTATTCACGACACACCTAACACCCCTAGGATAGGGACAGGGATGGTGATTTCACTGATACAAGGAACCCAGAGGTGATGAGTTCCTCCCTCTACCAATACAAGTCAGCACCTTTTCTTCAATTTACAGTCTTAGATACTGTGGCAATATGTTTAACATGATCGTGCATGTATAATCTATTGCTTGCTGTCTTGGGGAAAGAGAGGGGAAGGAAGGAGAAACATTTAGAACTCAAAATCTTAAAAAAAAATAATGCTCCAAAAAAATAAATAAATAAATACTCATGGGGCAGCTAGGTGGCACAATGGATAGAGCACCGGCCCTGGATTCGGCAGGACCTGAGTTCAAATCCGGCCTCAGACACATTAACACTTACCAGCTGTGTGACCCTGGGTAAGTCACTTAACCCCACTGCCTAACCAAAAATAAATAAATAAATAAATGATGCAGAAAGCTATCTTTGCATGTAATTGGAAAAAATAAAATGCTATTTACAAGTAAAAAAATTTACAGTCTTAAGAGTCGTCTTAAGCAGCGGTGTCACACATGAGGCCTGCAGGCCACAGGTGGCCCCCTGATTAGTGTGTGGCCCAAACCAGACTAAAATGTAATTGGGAAATATTTAACAAAATACATAAAGATGTAATAAAACACTGGTAATATTACATTTTGAAACTAAGTTAATAGAGGGCCCACAGCGATCCTCAGAAATGGCTTAGTGGTCCCATCTGACACCAATGGCTTAGAGCCATAAAGGAGAAGCGACTTGTCCAGCCAGGACACAGCCAGGCTGTCAGGGGCAAGTCTTGAACCGGGGTCTCCTTGGTTCGAGACCAGCTCTCCCATCCACTATTCACACTGCCTCGACTTACCGAAAGTACCTTTCCTCCCGGTGTGGGCTCGTCGGGGTGACGGGGACCAGAGCCTCGCCCGTCCCACTCTGCATCACTCTCAGCAGAGCGTCGGTCTCTCCAAAGCCATAGAGAAGCTTGGCTTCAGCCAGCTCCACACTGAGGGGCGGGGTCTTTGGCCCCCGTTCCAACGGGACCCCAGCCAGCACCTGTACCTGTTCCCTCTGAAGCTGCTCGGGCACCAGGCTCAGGGGCTCATGGGGCTGGGCTGGTTTCTCCCCCATCCTCTCAGAGCAGGTGCTATCAACATTCGCAGGTTCTTCCACAGGGACAGTCCCCTCTGAGGAGCTCCCTTGAACCCCACACCAGTTGCTGAACTTGTTATGAACAGGAAGGTCCTTCAGGCTATAATGCCTAGGTTCGGAAGCCTGGACTTTCTGGGTGCAAGACCTCAGCAGGACCTCCGACCGGGTGTCCCTGACTGTGCTGCCAACTCCCGGAGCCACGCTGACTTCGGAGATGGAGAAAGGGCCATGGCAATGGTTCAGAACTCCCCTCCAGGAGGTGCTCTCTGAAGTGGGGGGGGACTTCAAGGGCTGCTCCAAGGAATCAACATCAGTGCCTGTCTTCTGACACCAACTTGTGCTCTGGCCGGCTAGCCGAACCAACACGGGGTTAGCCGCCTCTAAAGTCACCTCCGCCACAAAGTTACTGGTGTTTGAGGCTTCTGACTGGCCCTTGGTAGGGCTCAACCCTGTCCTGGGCAGGGACAGGTACAGAGGCCTCTCCCAGGAGCTGCGCTTTTCCTTTGCACTAGCCAGCTGTCCTTCCCTGCCCAGAAGCCCCAAGGAGGCCCGCACCTGCAACTGCTGGGGGTGATTGAAGGGTCCTGTGCATGTGGAAGCTGAGCTCCCCTGAAGCCACAGGGTCTGTGTCAAAGCCCCAGAGGGATTAGATGGGAGAGAGCCATTGCTCGGTTCCTTTCCTGCGGACTTCCCACTATCTCCAGAAATATTCCCGATCTCCCCTTCATTGCAGACTTGGGAAAAATTGTTCGCTGGGGCCACCCAGGCAGCTCCAGGCTTCTGATGGTATATGGTGGAATGAGAAAGAGAAGCCCTGAAGCAAGTAGGGTTGGAGGAGGAGGAGGAAGAATGGGAACCTTGAGTGTTGGCGCTGAGGGTCAGGATAGGGGAGGAAGCCCTGTCTACCAACAAGGTGCCCCTGAAGCCTGCTTTCTTGTTCTTCTGGGTCCCGGACTCACAAGCGGACCCTCCATCCTGAAGAAATGAGCCTCTGGCAGAGGACGCAGAGAACAAAGTCGGGCTAGTGACCACTGTGCAGGAGGATCCATCCATCTGGGAACTCAGGGTAGCAGAGGAAGCTTGGAGACTTAACGGGTCCTGGGCTAGGGAGCGTTTCTGAAAACTGAGACTATGGTGGGAGGTGCCCGGGTTGTTCTGTGCAATGAGGTAATGCCTCTGGCTACCAGGGCTGGAAGAAGTCTGCTTCTTCTCAGCTGTGTCTCCAGGCCCCTTCTCCTGAAGCACAGGGGGGTGATCCACCTTCTCCTGAGGAACATCCGAGGCATCCATCCCAGCCAGGGAGCCACGTACTGGAGGGGTCACATTGGCTTCCTGAGGACTGGCTGACTTGCCGTCCCCAGGAGAATGGAGGGAGACATCCTGTGGGGCTGGGCCCACCTTGTCGGTCTGGATGCCCACGTCCATGGTGGTCTGAGTGCTGCTGTCCATCGTCACTGTCTTGGGGGCCTCTTCAGGGCCCTCGGCCTTAACACTCTGCTCCCTCTCACCTGTCCCCCGACGGGAAAGGTTCCCCAGCAGCTCCGAGGTATTGTGAAGGAGCTGGGAAAGGTGCATCGACAGGTTCTGCATGCTGGCCCATGACGCAAGGGGTGGGTGTAACCTGAAGACGGCAGCCTCTGAATTTGGGTAAGTGATGTCTACACAGCCCTGACAATGCACAGGAACCTGCTGAGGCTGAGGTGGGGTCGGAGCCAGGGTCACCGTCCCTTGCTCACAGGTAGCTACGCCAGCCTTTGGCCAGGACTCAGACTGGGTGGGGTATGGTGGCCCAGTGTCATCCATCTGCCCCGAGAGACCCTCCTGCTCTGTCAGAGTGCTCTCACCCTGAGACAGTTTGCTATCCTCAGGCAGGCCCTTGCCCACCTTGTCGGGGGTCCTGGCTGAAGGTACTATTATGGAGGTATCAGAGAAACCACGGTGGTTCCCAAAAACACGAGAAACCTTGCACGCCTTCCCTTCTTCTTCTAAGCCCTGAGGACCCTCAGTGCTACTGAGGGTGCTGGACAGCCCATGGGTGTTGGCATATGAACTGAGGTGAGAATGGAATGGGGAGCTCGGGGTGCCCAGGCCATTGTCTACACTGGAGCAACAAATAGCTCTCTGAGTGTCCAGACTCCATGAAATCTGGCTGCAGGAGATGTCACTGGCACTGCCAAACACGTATTGCTTCCAGCCTATCCTCCCTGGCCCCTCCTGCTGCCAAGATTGAAGGAAGGGATTTCTACTGCTAGATATGAAATGCATTGCATCTGCGTTCTCCAGTGCCAACCAGCCTTTGCTCCTGGGATGGTGGTTCTGCTCCTCTACCAGGCTGTCTGATGACCTACCTTCTGGGACCGGCATAGCCAAGAGAGTAGAAGAGGTTGGGTAGGATGCAGTGCCAGAATCTGAGGGCTGTGGACTGGTGGCTTCTGAGTTGTAATTCGATAAAGCTGTCTGACCACAAGCTGCGGATCTTGGAAACTTCCTCAATTCCATCAGCATCATTATTTCAGATTCATCTGGGGAGAGGTCACTGACGGTCTCACCACTCTCCTCTTCTGTGGGAGAAGGAGGCTCCACACTCATGTTCAGCTCCTGTAGAGACCTGGAGGAAATTCCTACAGAGAGCTCCAGGGTGGAGAAATCTTTCGGAGAATGCTCAGGGACAAAGGAAAAAGCAACACAGGAGGCTGAGTTTCTGTCAGAGTGAGAGCCAGTGTCCAGACCCTCCTGTGAGCCCTCTGGCAGTGGGAGAGGTCCCTGAGCATCAAAAGGGCCACCGTTTCTCTTCCAAGGCCTGAATCTTTCAGGCCTTGATATCTCTCCATCAGTCATCAGGCTATCTCCGGACTCCTGGGGGCTGGCTTGGCCACTAGTTCCTGAATGGTAGTGGTTTCTGTCCCACGCTGTGTTGCCAACGTTGCTTGAGAGCTGCTCCTTCTCATCTTTCTTCCACAGACTGACCGGAAGGTTGCTGAGGATACACTTTTTACCTGCTTTTGTCCTCGGGTGGGGAACAGGGACGCTGTGATCTCTGAGATCCTTAGGAAATGGTGGTCCTTGGGCAAGCTGTGGAGACCCTACCGTAGGCTCATTCTCAAGAATGCCTTCACTTCCATGTATTGCCTCCAGTCTCCTAGCTGCTACATAGTTCCCTGACTCAGTCACAGGAGAGAATTCCCATTCATTCTCACTAGCTTTGTGCTTTTCCTGGGGATTCTCCAACTTCTCAGAATAGGTCCTGGCAAGGAAAGAAGCCATTTCAGGCTTGATAGTGACTTTCTTCTTAATGTCTTCTCTCCCAGGGCTCTCCATACTGCACAAACCAGTGTTGGAAGCTGCCAATCTCGATTTTCTCTGGTCTTCTCTAAGATCCAAAGGTATGTTGGGCCCTCTAGATTGGTGGTCTACATTGAGCTTGCAAGACTCCAGGAAAACCGGAAGCATGGTGTCTGAGGCAGACCGGGGAATTCGCTTCTCAGGACTGCTACTTCCGTAAGGCAGAGAATCGATAAAAGACGGTGAATTGATCCGGGCAGCACCTTGTCGAGACGTGCATGGTGGACTGGAAGGAGAAGTCACCACCTCTCCCTGGGATGCCGATGGGCTAAATATAATGCTGCTTTTAGAAGTCTCTAGGTTATTTTGAACCATGCTTCCTTCTGGGTAGTTCTTCATTTCCCTAACAAATGCTGGGGTAAGATTCTGATCAAGGAGGGAAGTTGGACTTGGACATTTGCTGTCAGCACCATAGGCTACAGACTGCCCAGACACGGTAGCCCCTTTCAACTTTGGGCATTGTGGCAAGGCATTCCCTTTACTGCCTCCCTCTCCTGTTCCAGAGACCATCATGTTTTGCTTGTGATTTGCCCTCCTTTCTCCTGATCCTGGGGAATGGACACATCTTGGATGAGCAGGAAGACTTCCTGACTGTTTGATGTCTAAGGCTGCCAATGGACTGCCTAAGTATGGTGATTCTTCAGCCTCAACTATGTCCGTTTCGCATGAGACTGGCTGCTTTCTGTTGTGAAAGCTTCCTTGGGACCTCAAAGTAGGCCACAGGGTAGCAGAATTCGCCATCACATAAGACATTTCAGCTGCTGCTACCTCAGATTCTGCATGGAGAGGGGCATCTTTCCAGGGAGATTGGATGGAAGTTCCCTGATGGCTTTGTAGGTCAACCATTGCCTCCAAAGGGTTGCCCACGTCCCCACCACACAAGCTCTCATAAGCGGTACTTTGGGGTCTGAACCCTTCCCAAGCCCTCTGGACGCGCTCCCTGCTCCCTAGGCTAGCCCTCTCCACCTCTGAATGTGCCCCTGTCTGTGGCTGAATTATTCTGATGCTGTTGGAGATGACATGGAGAGAAGGTGCAAACAGCTGCTGCCATAGTGGCTCGTCCCTCTTGTTCTCCTTTGAGGCTGATGGGGAAAGCAGGTTTCCTGATGCCAGAAGACTATCAGCAGAAGGTGACCTGATAACCTCTTCCTTCTTGTCTGGACTTTCAGAGAGGACTTGGGGATCAAAGTGCCCTGTCAGCTTCTCACCTGCTGCTTGCATGTTACTGGGTTTGCAAATGCCTGGGTTAGCCGTGGTGCTGAAGGACAACAGTGAGGCATGCTTTTGTCCTCTGCTAGGGGCAGTGACATCTTTCATTAACTGGGGACCATCTGCCACATACAGCTTTGCCAGAGGCTTATTCTTACCAGGATGCTTTCCTGATGCAGTACCTGGAGCTGCCTCCTGGATATGCCCTCTTGTGGCTTTATTTTGCACAAGACATACTTGTGACTCATCTTCCTCCTGAGTCCTACCTAATTCCAGCTGGTCTCTTTGGTTGTAGTGAGACTGCTTAGGAGTCCCAGAAAAAGCCTCAGGCTTTGGTTGAGTTTCACTGTAAGGCACAATAATCTGCCCATTGGTGCTGTCTTTTGAAGACTTCCCACACTCCTCTGACAGTCCAGTGTCCTCCACTGTGGTCTCTACATTCACTTCTGGAGACATGGATGAGTTGGCAGAGGTCCCCCAAAGCCCTGGTGAGACCCTGGTCAGTTTTGGCACAATAATCTGCTCATTGGTGCTGTCCTTTGAAGACTTCCCACATTCCTCTGATGGCTTAGTGTCCTCCACTATGGTCTCTACATGTGCTTCTGCATTCATGGATGGGGTGGCAGAAGCCCCCCAAAGCCCTGATGAGGAAGCCAATTTTCCCTCAATACTTGCTGACAAAGAGGTGCTGGTGATACTGAGATCCATGGCAACCTTTTCTGTCCTCCACAGCTTTTTCTCTAGGGCCTGAGGTGCTTGGAGTTCGCTGTCTGCCTGCGGGTGACTGGCCCTTTTCTCCAGTAGATATCGGTTAAGTGAATCAGCTCTTTTCACGTTTCTTAACAAAGTCACCTCTGCCTCAGTGAGAGATGCATTTCCTAGGTTCAAATCTGTAGGGGTGATTCTGGTGTCCCCTCCCTGCTGTTCTAGGAGCACAGCGGTAGCTGATGCTTTCCCCTCTTCCTCAGAGCAGCTGTCACTTGAGGGCTCACTAGGGCTCCCACCACCATCAGGCTGATAACAGAGGCCAGACGCCATTCTCAAACGAAAATTCTGACAAACTGACTGCTCTACAAAGGACTTTTTGCAGCTAACACTTCTAAGACAGCCGTGGTTTCTTGCTTCTCCGTAGTTTTTTTGCTGTTCTACTCTGTCTTCTGAGAGGGCAGGGCCTTGTGTTTTCAGAAACTCCAGTTCTGACTCAGAGTCAGTGGAAGAAAGGCTCACTGCCTTCATCATCGACCTGAAATACTTTTCTGACAGCTTTGGCGGACCAGAGGAAAGGATGTTGCCTGTTCCTTCCTGAGTGGCAGCCACTGGGCAGCCTTCTTGACTTGGTAAGGGAGACACTTTCTCCTGAGTGCGATATCTGCCTGTACACATGATTTGGCTTACGTCGGGTAAGTCTTGAGCCAATGGAGCTGGATGGGTTTCTGTTTGCAGGCTCTTTCCCCACAAGGCATTTGTTTCTTGATCTATGTCATGGACCACTGGTTCTTTGCACTTAGCCGTTATCATGGTCCTGGTTAGGTTTTCAACAGCCTGACTTTCCCGGAAACTGACCTTGGGCTCTAATTCCAGAAAACTTCCTGTCCTCACAGTGGCATGACTTTGGGGGTTCAGTTCTGAAGCAGATTGCTTACTGCAGCTTCCCTCAGACCTTTCTTCCTCGGGTCTCAACAGCTTAATTTTGGCCAATGGCTCCGCTATCTCTGGACTTTCTGGACCATTAGCAGGTTTTTTCTGAGCAGTACATCTTTGTGAAAACTTTAAGAACAAATAATCACTAGGGCACTTGACTGACAGTTTAGGTATAGGTAAGAGAGTATGTTCTCTTTCAGTTTTGTTTTCTTCAATGAATTCAGTGGGTCTGGTAAGGTTTGGAGTGATTTTCTGGATCTGATGACTCTTCTGAATACAACTGTTGACCTCCTTGATTCCTCTGGCTTCCACGCTACTTGGGACTTCCTCCTCCTCCTGTACCTTCTTTGAAGAAAGGGGCTGATCTCTGTAAGAGAGGCTGTCTCTGAAGTCATCTGGTCTCAGAGTGAGAGGGGCCTTTACTTGCTCCTTCCTATCCCTCCACATAGCTCTCCTATAGGCTTCTGCCATATACAAGGCACGAGGGGAATATTTTTGCCTGGAATCTATTTCCAAGATGCTGCTTTCCAGCTCTGATACACTGCTAATTAGCCTGGCCATTTCTTCAGAACGATTAACAATTTTACCCTCAGAAGAAATCTGATTTCTTCTTCGAGATATTTCTCCTTGGGAATTGGGCATCACCATTAAGCTCTCAGGTTCCTTGCTTGCAACAGGGCCTTCTTCCTTGAAGGATACAGCTGGCAGAAGGTTTAAAGCAGAGTCTTTTCCATAAGAGTGGTCTTCTCTATGAGGCATCAGTCCTTCTGAGCCATCCTCAGCATGCAAAACCATTCCAAGAGAAACAGATTCAGTTCCTTCCCTTGGGTGGGATGAGGTTTCATCCTTGACTATTACCACTGGACTCGTACACCTAGAGTGACTTGCTGAGTTGCGCTTTTTAGGAACCAAAACATTCTGCTGCATATCGACTCTATATTGAGTTTGGTTCGAGCTCTCTGTTTTGTAAATGAAGTTGGAATTGGGTCCAGAATGGATCTGCCTTTCAAAATCAGTTGCACTGATCCCTTGGAGGTAGCCTGCCTGCTTCCCTAGGACATCATTTTCACTCTGCCTGTGTTCATGATCTCCTCCAATGCTAGAGATAACTGGGAGATGCATCATTGCCCCAGAATGATTAAATGGAACACGCCAAGAGGGCTGAGCTGGGGCTTTTTCCTTTATCTTCAGTGAGGACTGTGGGTATTTGTTATTTAAAATCCTGGCTGGTTTTCCTAACTGACATGCTGCCATGCTAACGCTCTCCAGCAACAGTCTATTCTGAGCAGAAGAGAAAGAGATGGGATTGTTGTACTTTTCCATACTTCGGGGGACCCCAGTTCCACTCAGGTCTTTCCTGGTACCTGGGCTGAAGGACCTCTCTGCCACGACTTGCTGAGATGAAGGATCCTTGGGATTTGGGGTATGTAATAAAAGCAGCAGGTTACTGTCCAGATTTCTGAGAAACTGAAAGGTGTGGTTCAAACTCTCTACTGTGTTAGTGGGTGGCATATCCTCCTCCCAGTCTCGGCACGCAGGGATCTCCAGGGCCGTTTCTGTCAAGGCATCTCTACTTTCTAACACATAAAATGTTTCCAAGGGATGGAGCTGCTCAGGGGATGGGAAAGGATCCCAAGGTGGGAATGACTCAGAGTCAGTAGGCAAGGCCAAAGAAAAACTCCTTTCTCTGTCGATTCCTTCATTAGCACTCTGCAGGAGCTCTGACTTCATCACCGGCTGGGAAAGAGTGCCATCAAGCTTTAATGGAACCAGTTTGCTGGGTGGATTCTCCTCTTGCTGGGACCAGGTTGGAGAACCCTGATATTCCTTAGCAATCATGGGGCTGCTACTGTTGGATATGTCCCTCAGGAAAAAGCTCTCATCAAAGGAAACTGCTGACCCTGCTCTTCTACAGACCAGAGGCTGTGGCTGCTTTGAGCTGCCCTGATGTGCCTGATGCACCTCTGTCATGGAAGCTGAAACCTTGTTTTCTGCTGCAAAGACCCAAGCACTTTCTAACCCTGAATCTCCTGCTTCTAAGTCTGTTGAGGAACAGCTCTGATGAGCATCTTTTTCAATAGTTCTAAAGAAAGCTGAGAGGTCGTCCAACTCAAAGCTCCCACCATTTTGTTCTTGCTCTGTTGTCAGATGCCTCGTGGATGGCAAAGAGAAGGAAGGATCATTGAAATCAAAATCACCAGGCATCTTGGGACACGCAGGGAAGAAAGAATCCCATCTTTTGCCAGATGTAAAGGGCAGGTAACTTGTGTCCTTCAGAGAGGAACTAGAAACTTGTGTGCTTTTCACTGTGGCCCCCCGGGAAGACTGAGAAAACTCACACAGATATTCAACAACAGGCCTGCCCTTTCTAAGGGTGCTGCCTTTGTGAGACAACAAAGATGCAGGGGCAGCTGACCTGATGGAGGTAAGAGTGCCATCTGAAGGCACAGGGTTACTGTACCCAGCCTGGTTGGGTAGGCCTCTTCCCTCCTTAAGAAATGACTCCTGTGAGACAGTCACATCTGATCCAGACTTGCAAGGTCCTTGGGATCTCCATGTAGCCTCTGAAGATACAACCAAAGATGGTTCCATGCTCACTTCGTTGGTACTGTCGGGGACCAAGGCTGAGCCTTGGAGGTGACTGAAACTGTATATCCCAGTGGCGACCTCAGGGTGAGGCTGTTGTAATCCTTCCGCTTCGACCGCAGCCTTGGGCTTCTCCATGGCTTGGACCTCTGGTTCCTGGATCTCAAGATTCATCTGTGAGTACATTTTGACTTCTTGAGAGTCTTTTGGATTGCTCCCTGAATCACAGGAGAACCAAGATTCCACAGAAGCCAATGAGTTGTTTCTCGGGTGCTGTGTCTGTTGGAGGGGTTTGCATTCATCTCCTTCTGTCTTGGGCTGGAGAGCCAGATAAAAAGAACCACTTGGCTGCAGAGTCACATCAGGCCCTACTGCAACTGATCCTTGGTCTGAGGTCTGGAACTCAAGTACCTTCTCCTGGCATACTGGGAAGGACGGGGAGCTCTTCATTTGCCAAAAGACCTCCACAGGCATCTCTTCTGATGAGTGAGAAGTGGACTCTTCCTTAAAGTCTTCCCTACAGGTCTCCTCCTCATTGTTCAGGCTATCCAGAGAAAAGGTCCTCACCTTTTTCCAGGGCAGTCCACTGCCAGCAGTAAGCAAAGAGGCTTTAGGAGAAGCCACTGGACTAGCCTCCCTTCTCTCGGAGGCTTGTGGTGAGGGAGAAGAGGGCAAAAGCCTTCTCTGCGTTCTGTTCCTTTTTTCCACCAGTGAATCCTGAGACATCTGGCTGTCATCACTTTCTGAGTTCTCAGGCACTGTGCAGTGTGGCTTTGGCTCAGGGGCCTCTGGCTTTGGTGGTTTGATCAGGGTCCTGGTACAGGCACAGGAGAGAGAATCCAGAGAGTAGGTACTGTCGGTATCTGAAAAATCATTCTCGGTTTCCTGCAGCCAGGCTCCCAGTGGGCTGAAGGAGGCCCGTGGGCCATTGTTGCCTTCTCTATCACGACAGGTCCCTCTATCACACTCTGTCTTCCCAGGGTTCTGAAGGAACCTTTTGTCCCTGTCTTTCACATCAGAAAGACGCCCCCATGGCCATGCTGAGGCTCTAGCTAATGATGCCGCACTGGGCTCCCACTGTTCTATGGCCCAAGCAGCCTGACGCAGGCGAGTCATTTGAACCTTTCCACGTATGACCGATCGCTTGGTTCCCTGGGCGTGTGGGGAGCTGCTGCCATTCCCTCGGGAGGCCCGGTTTGTCAGGAACTCCCCTTCTCTTCGCCACCTCCGCCGTGCTGGACCGTGGCTTCCAGATGGCTTTTCCCTACCTGTTCGGGGCCTGGGGATGAGGGAATCAGGCTTCTCCCTCGATCTGAGGTGCTCTGATGATCGGCCTACAGAGACCAGGTTTCGATGTAGACGCACCAGCTGCTTGTTCCTGCCCATTTCCTGACTCTTCCGGTCTGTGGCAGAAGCAATCTTGGGGCTCATGGTGGGACTAGTCCTTTGGGTTGAGCTATCTTCCCCAAAAGATGCTCTCCTCCCCTCACAGACCTGACACGGGTTTGGGGGGCAAGAGCCATTCGACAGAATTGTACTTCCTCCAGGAACAGAAGCTTGAAGTAGACGTTCCTCTGAGTGAGGTTTCTCTGGTGTGTAGTGAACAGTCTCAGCTGATAACTTGGCAGGAATTTCACACTTCAGAACACTGAAAACACAAAGAAAACCAACTCAGGATATTTCAGAGACCCTTTACGAAACCATTCACTAGGGTGAAGGTGGTGGTCGTGGCGGGATCATAAATCTGGACCGAAAAAAACCCTAAGAGTCAAGGTAGAGAGGACAGATTGATTTGTCCCAATGTGGTTAATACTAAACCAAATCTCACTGCCCTCCTGTGCCTTCAAGTAGGGATCACATTTAGGAAAGCTTTAGATAAATAACAGAGAAAAGCTCTCTGATTCTGTCTGAGAAAAGCATTCTCTGGGCCCCTCAACATTCAGTTTTCCATGCAGAAAAAGGAGTGTGAATCCTAGAAGGCCTAGGGATCATGAAGGTCAAGTAAGTGGGAGGGCCATAATCATTCTCACCCACCAACATCAACTAAACACCTGCTAGGTACAAAGTACTGGGGAGCCAAAGAGGTATGAGAACACAGTACCTGTGCCCAGAAATATTAAACACTTAAAAAAATAATCCAAAGCACTGTTTTTAATGGTGAAGGAGTGGCAGAGATAACAAACACTAAAGGAACTCAAAAGGAAAATGAGAACATGATGGGTAGGGTCCTTTGGGGAAGACTAAAAGGAAGAGTTGGGTTTTTAAAGAAGGATACTACTGCTCAGATAACTGGGTAGGAGGTAAGAAGGTAATTTTAGCCAGAAGAAATGATTTGTGCAAAGGTGTAGTGGGTGGCAGGAATGTACATGAGCACATTCTAGGGACAACAAGTAGACAGTTTGGTTAGAACAATAAAGAAGCAGAGGGGGTGGTTGGAGAAATAAGCAGGGACGATTTGAGGGACATTCTTTTAATAAATGCTAAAGAACTCAAAAGGAAGGGGTGAATATGATAGGCTGGATCATTGGGAAAGGCTAAAAGGAGGGGCTGGGTCTTGAAAGAATGCTGGTATAAAGAAGGGTGAGTAATTTACCTTCTGAGTAGAGAGGAGATGCGTGCAAAGGGATGTCTTAGAAAGTTTAATCTGATTATAGCATAAAGAACAGATTTAAAGTAGGAAAGATAGGAGGCAGGAGATGGGTTAGGAGATCACTGCTATTAATATAACTGGTTATAATGAGGATCTGGACTTAGGCGATAACAGTGTCAAGAGGCAGACACAAAAGACATTATAGAAAAAGGACCAGTAGGATTAGACTAAGATGATAAAGAGGTAGTGTTACAATTTGAAAGCAGAGGAGTCGTCTACAGAAAAGAGAATTTTAGATCCATCTAGAAGTGGTGTACACACAATGGTGTGGGAAGAGACTGATGGACAAAGAAGTCCACCTAAGAAGCCTCCACAATAATCCTGGCATGGGATGATAGAAGGTCTGGATTAGGTTTGCAGCAGTCGAAGTATAAAGAAAGGGGTCAACTCTGAAAGAACTGGCTGAAAAAGAATTATCTGGGCTTGAAGGGGGAGGAGACAGATGCTAACCAAGACTGTAATCCTAGAGTGTTCAGCAAACTAGTTTGAATGGGGAAGATATTGAACTCTGTTTTGGACATGTTGAATTTGAGACAATGGAGGGACATTCAAGTAGAAATTCCCGGTAAGAAAGAGAAAATAGAGGATGGGAGAAAGGAGCTGGGAGGCAGTAGCATAGAGGTTATAGCAGTAGAAGATGGTTTTAATAGGCTCAGAATACCTTTAATGGGTATTAATACCCATTAATAGGGTAATGAATGCCAGAACTAGGATTGCAATAGTGGGCATGGAAAAGTATTGCAGAGATGGGAGTTCAATCACCAGGACCTGACAAGTGACAAAATGGTGAAAGAGTGTCAAGGATTCACAGGTTTCAAGCCAGGAAGAAGGTGATACCAACAACATGCAATGAATAAGGCAGATTTACACAGAAAACAATGAATTCCACTTGCATAGGCTGAAGTCTGTAGGACACACAACAGGAGAAGTTTGGCAAGCAGTTGGAAATGTTGAGGTTGGACGTGTTTAATATGGAAATATGTTCTGTATGATTTCACACGTATAATTGATATCCTATCACTTGCCTTCTCAGTGGATGAGGGAATGACTAGAGGGAGAGAGAAAATCCAGAACTCAAAAAATCTTTAAATTAATGTTAAAAATAAATGATAAATTTGTTTTAAAGAATGAAATTTTGAGATTGGATACTTAAAATTTCTTTTTAGAATTGAGGAGTTATCCACACAGAAATAAATGATACCTGAAGCCCTGGGAATACATGAGACAGCCAAGGGAGAAAGTATAAATAGAAGAGACAAGGGAAAGTCTTGGGAACATCCATATTCAGGAAGAAGAGGGACATCTAAGGAAGCAGCAGCAAGACAGGTAGAAGAACCAGGAAGGGCAGTGTCATGGAAGCCAGAGGTGACTGACTACCAAATAGGAGGCGAGAAAAGGGAAGGGACAGGAGGGGAAGGTGAACAAGGGGAAGAGAAAATGGAAAGAGGAAGGGAAGGGAAGGAAATGTGCATTCACATAACACCTACTATGTGCCGGGCACTGTTCTAAGTGCTTTTTACATACATCTCATTTGATCTTCACAACAACACTGCAAGGTAGATGCCATTATTAGCTTCGTTTTACATCTAAAGAAACTGAGACAAACAGAGGTAAAGAGACTTGCCTAGGGTCACACAGCTAATACATGTCTGAGGTCAGATTTGAACTCAAATCTTTCAGACTCCAGGCCCAGTGCTCCAGCAGTAGCCTCAGAGGAGAACTGAGAAAATGTCCCTGGATTTAGCAACGAGCAAGTCACAGGACAGTGACCTTGGAGAGAGAAGTTCTAGTAGAGCGATGGGGGACAAAAGACAGCATAGGATGATGAAAAGTGAAGTAGAAAGTAATAGCATGTGGGGTCCCCTACTTTCCTTAGAAAATTGACAATGAAGGTGAGATACAATATGATAGCTTTAGGGAATGGAGGAAATAATTTGTTTAGTTTCTTTTAGGACGAGGAAATCTGTGTATGTTTGTAGGCAGAAGGAAGGAATGAAGAGGGGAGAGACAAAAGGTAAAAGGTGAGCAGGGGATGATGAATGCAGTAAGGCCCTAAAGGCGACAGAATCAAGGGTACAGGTAAACAGGCTGGTTATTGTCCTCTGTTCTTGAAGAGGAGGACCAAAATGACATCTCGAGGTTGGGGTCAACGTATAGTGTGTCTGACTGTGGCTGATTAGACAAGGTCAGAAGGCTCTACCACAAGTCAGGCACAAATAGTCCATATGAACATGTGGAATAGAGATGGCTCTACATCTGTGCATCTCACGTTTCTTTTGCGCTACTGCAATTCTGCTTTGCTCATAGAGCACAGTGTCTTCTATGATGTGGGCCAAATGGGCTATCCTCTACAAGAAAGAAGGTTGGCATCCTATAAGATGAGACAGAGAGAAGGAAAGAAAGCATAAAGAAACTTTGGGGGAAGGAGGAGATAAGGGTGGGAGCTCTTAATGAGTGGCTTCAAGGTTGAAAGGAAGGTAACCTACTGAAGTAGCAGGGTAGCAACTGAATTAGCAATTTAAGGAGGTGATCTGGTATATAGTTCCTATTGGAAACAGGCAGCTAGGTGGCACAGTGAATAGAGTACCAGTCCTGGAGTCAGGAAGACTCATATTCCCAAGTTCAAATCTGGCCTCAGACATTTATTAGCTGTGTGACCCTGGGCAAGTCACTTAACCTTCTTTGCCTCCATTTCCTCATCTGTAAAATGAGATGGTAAAAGAAAGGGCACACCACTCCAGTATCTTTGCCAAGAAAACCCCAAATTGGGTCACAAAGAGTCAGACATGACTGAAAAATGACTGAACAACAAAGACAACAACCCCATTGAAAAATGTAATGAGGAGTCAATAAAAGGAATGCCTCTTAGGCCCAGTTCAGTTTAGACCACATAAATTTATAGTAGACTTGGTCACTGAGGCATTGTGAATTCCATTAGGAGCACTGAATGGCTTGGGAGTAGAAGTGGAGAAGTTACAAACAGAGTCATCCAGGGTTAGCAAGAGGGTACCTAGAGAAGGACGAGGAAGAAATCAGAGACAGAGAAGAGTAGGTTACTCAAATGGGTAACCAGAAGGAGGTCAGGACTGTGAAGGTTGGTAAGTGAGAATTAAACAGGAGGGATAGATTGGGAGGGACCAAGGAATCAAAAGTCAAAATGAGAATGAAGGACAGTCTCAGGAGAAGTGAAGTGGTGAGAGATGTGGAAGGACAGGAAGGACATTCAGCAAGGGAAACTTCAAAGTTCAGGGTTTCGAAAGTAGAGCAGTCTCCAGTGATGGCAAGGTCTATGGCAGCAATTCACAAACTTTTTGGTCTCAAGACCCCTTTACAATCTTAAAAGTTATTGTGGGCCCCAAAGAACTTTTGTCTATGTGTGTTGTATCTACCAATATTTACCATACTCAAAATTAAACATCTTAAAATTACTATTAAAATTATAATGTTATTATAAAAAGTTTTGACCTCATAGACCCCCTGAAAGAGTCTGAGTTCCCAGACTACACTTTGAGAACCAGTGGTCTAAGCCATGACTAGCACAGGGAGTAAGTGAAGGTAGAATGGAGAGGGAGTATATGGGAACTGAGGAGGCTCAAAAGGAGTCAGAAGGAAGGGTCATAAATATGAATGTTGTAGTCCCTAATAATAATGGCATGGCATGGGGGGGGGTTGTTGTTGTTCAGTCATTTTTCAGTCCTGTGTCCAATTCTTGGCGACCCCACTTGGCAAAAGTTTTCTGGGCAAAGACAGTGGATTGGTTTGCCATTTCCTTCTCCAGCTCATCTGACAGATGAGGAAACTGAGGCAAACAGGGTTAAGTGATTTGCCCAGAGGTCACACAGCTAGTAAGTGTCTGAGGCCCGATTTCAACTCATAAAAGTGAGTCTTCCTGACTCCAGGCCTGGTACTCTATCCACTGTCCTACCCAGCTGCCCATGGGATAGGAGGCAGAGGAAGATTAAAAGTCTTAAGTGCTGAAGTCACCAAGAAGGTGGGAGAGTGGGCTGGAGGTCGGTAGCAGGTGGCAGGACAAGGGAGACATGATGAGATAGGATCAACTTCAGAAGAGGAGAGGACGGTTATTGAGTGACGGTAAAAGAACAAGGAAACTGTATATGGGGAGCAAGCAAAGAAGCACCCCGACCCTTCTTCCTGACTCTGTGGGGTCTAGAGGCAGAAGAAGGAACGTCCAGCACTAGAGAAGGCGACAAGGGATAGGGCGTCCTATCAGAAGAGTCAGCTTCAGTTAGCACTAGAAAGAGGAAGAAATGAAAAAAGATCAAGAGTGAATGGGAACTGATACCTAACTGGGGTTTCCAAAGGGCAGAGTGGAAGAGACAGACAGGGAAAAGGAACTGGGGGGAGGAGGATGGAGCAAGATTGAGATGAAATGGTGATGGAATACAGAGAGAGAGAGTACCAAGTGAAAATGGATTTCCGAATGAGCAAAAGCTCTCTGGAGTCAGCAATAACTTTCAAGACTATAAAAGGGTCTGGAGATGAAAAAGTTTGAGAACTGCTGTCTTTGAAGGACAGTAGGGGATTTGCTAGCCCTAAGACGGAGGATGTAACCAAAGCAGGCACATCAGGAGAATCGGGGCTCAGGAAAGTGAAACTCCAGAATGGGTCAGTTACAAAGAGGGAGGTGATAACCACGAATCCCAACTTCCAGTTGCTAACACCCATTCCGAGGCCCTACCAGATTTACCTGTGGCTCTTTTACCTTTGTGAGGGGGACAGAGAGAGGCCGCAGACTCTCTGGTTCCCCAAGGAACTGCTGCTGTAGGAAGATCTGCTCTTTTTTTGAAAAGCTGGAAAGGTGGCATCCACACCCAGGTCCAATTCCCCAGGCTGGCTTGGGTTGTCTTCCCAGCACAGGGTTTCAAGCTGTTCAAGCCTTCTCTGGGCTTCCAGGAGTTTCTGCTTTTTGACGATCCTTTCCAACTGAAACTTGACTTTCTTGCGCCTGACTTTACGCTCTGCGGCCCAGAGGGCATTCCTCCAGAGGACCTGCAGCTGGGCCAGCTGTTCACGGCCCCCATCTAGCGACGCTGAGGAGGTCTTTGGCCCAGTCTGTGGTTCAGCTTCATGGGAGACCTCAGGGTCTGTCTCAGCCAAGACACCATCCTGTTGTCGCTGCTGCTGCAGGCTGGCCAATCGGCTTTCCTCTCTGAGCAGCCATCGCTGGTCTAAGAACCAAGGAAACCCAGAAAGAAAGTCAGAGCTTGCCCCTCTACCTGTCTCTGAGCCAGTCACCTGGGCCTGCATGGAGGGACACACTTGCGGGTACCCATGTGGGGAGGAGAGGGGGGAGATTTCTGGCCTCTTAGCCACTCTGTGACTGGGATGTGCAGTGAACATGAAGAGGGGAAAGATTCCCTAATCCCTAGAACAGAGAGACCGATAAGGCAGAAGTCAAAAGAACATGGAGCTGGGGTCTCACCCGGGACGTGGGGGCTACATGGACAAACATGCATGTGAATGAGGGAAGGAGAAGAAGAGAGAGCAGTGCTTCTAAGGGGGGATGAGCATGTTAGTTTCCTTATTCGTCTTTCTTGGGAACCTTTTTTCAATTCCCCCCCCCCCCAATAATGTTTCCCTGCAATTCTGTAAGACTATAAACAAAAAAGAGAGGAAAGATTGGAGCTGACCACAGGAAAAGGAGGAAAAATGAAGAAATGAGGTGAAAGAGACACCTTAAATGATGGTCACCTACTGTCTTTGATCTGCTGGTTGATGAGGGCCTGGTCAAACTTCAGTTCCTGCTCAGCTCTTAGCTGCTCAACTAGGATATCTTGCTTTAAATCCTCGACAAGGCGTTTCTGTTGGCGAATCTGCATCCTGTGGGACACTGCTTGCTCCAGCTGCTTCTGGTAGTGTGCTTCAGGAACAACATCCCATACTCTCCTGTCACGGAAAGGGCTAGGAATTTCCATGAGGAAAGAAATAAACCATCTTGAGAAAGAGTGACTTATATTTCAGAGGGCACTCTTCCTGGGCCTTGGCTCTAGCTATGGGGTCTTCCTTTTGGTCAAGCTAGGGACCGTCTGACTCCCCTGGCTGAGACACCATCATGAGCCAGGGTGCCCTTAGGCATTCACTTTCTTTCAGAAGATTCTCTTTACTAAGTCTCCCCATTTGGCAAAGCCCTTGGGTGCAATATAACAGAGAAGAATTTGGACCCAACATCATGCTGCCTGTGGGAACTAGGAAGAACAAAGAGGAGGTGAGTTGGGTCACAAATAGCCAGTGAGGTCACAGAGCCAGCAGGTAGAACTTTAGTCAAAAGTGACCTCTTCTGAATTTCTTAGGATGGAAGAATCAGGAAAAACAAGAAGTCATTTCAGTTAATAAGAATAGCCAGGTAAGAATAAAAGAGGCAAAATGTTATGTTTTTGGCAAAACTAATGAGCGCTGGTTCCCCCCGCCTCCCCCCCCCTGCCCTCTCTCTCTCTGCCTCTCTGCCTCTCCCCTCCTCTCCTCTCCTCTCCTTTTCTTTCTCTCTCTCTCTTTTTCTCTCTCCCTCTCCCTCCCTCCCTCTCCTTTTTTAAGCTTTGGGACTCCCTATCTTGCCCAAATGAGAAGTACAAGGAGCTACTCTTTGGCCTGCTGCTTCATTTCTGACCTGGGCAGCCTTGCTTCTCCTTAGGCAATTTGGGGGTCCCTTGCTTCTAGGGGCTCACCACATTAAAGTCAAACTTAGTGCAGACACCCCTAAACTTGGAACTCCCAAACTCAAAAGATCCACTAGCCTCCCCAATAGCTGGAATTATTGTCATTCACCACCATGCCCAGCTTTGGGCTTTATTTAAAAAATGAATGGCCAAGTTTCACAGAGGCTACGCTACTTTTTGAAAATCAGATTGGAAATGAAGCAAAATTATTTTGCAAAAACCTTGGATTTTGTGGATTGTGAGGTAATTCTTTCCTCTCATTCTAAGAAGCTATATCTTTAAGAAAACCAACTCTGTGAAGTGTTCATCTACTGCTGGAACCTCATTCCCTGAAACAAACAGTATATCTGTGACCTAGATGAAAGAGACAGACAGACAGGGAGGCAGGCAGGCAGAGACACACAGACAGAAATACAAAAAAAAGAGACAGAGAGAGGAAGGGAAAGGAAGGAGAGAGGAGAGAGAGAAGAGAAGAAAGAAGGGAGTGGCGATTAAAGAGAGTGAAGGGAAAGGAAGAAAGAGAGAAGAGAGGGGAGGAGAGAGATTCTAGAGGAATATTTGCATGTCTGCAAACAAGTTCGAGGCCAGGAAATCTGGCCTACAGGAAAGAGCACCGGGTTGAAATTTGAGAGGCCGGGTTCTGTAATGTCACTAATTAGGAATAATTCATTTAAGTTTCTTCTTCTGAGAAACTGATAGTCACTATCTGAACCTTCTGCATCCACTAAGGGTGGGGTACTCGGAGGTGTCTCCAAGGCTATCTCAGTCTCATGTCTACTTTCTATCAGACAGCACTCTTTTTTTTCCCCACACAGAGATAGCGCTAGCACTGGAGAACCCTGCAGACAGAGAGAGGGAAAGAGGGAAGCTCAAGGTGGTCAGCAGGGAAGGAAAAAAAGGGTGAAGGAAGGAATAAGCATTTATAAAGTATCTACTACGTGCCAGGCATTATGCTTTACTTTTTTTTAATAACTATTATCTCATTTGATCCTCACTACAACCCTGCAAGGTGGATACTGTTATTATCCCCATTTTACAGTTAAAGAAACTGAGGCAAACAGAAGTTAAGTGACTTGCCCAGGGTTATACAACTAGTAAGTTGTCTAAGGCTGGATTTGAATTCAGGTCTTCCTCACTCCAAGCCCAGCGTTCTATCCACTATACCACCTAGCTGCTTCTAAGAAGTTAACAGAGGGGCAGCTAGGTGGCGCAGTGGATACAGCACCAGCCCTGAAGTCAGGAGGACCTGAGTTCAAATCCCACCTCAGACCAAATACTTGACACTTACTAACTGTGTGACCCTGGGCAAGTCACTTAACCCAACTGCCTTAAAAAAAAAAGGAAATTAACAGAGCAGGAACAAGCATTGGGCAGCCAGGGCCTCAAGCAAGCACCAATCTAATGGGGAGGAGGAAAAGAAACATTTTCTCCCACTCAGCCAAAGCTGTCCTGGTCTGCCAACCCTGAGATCCCGTAGCTATCATAACTCTCCTTCCAGAGTCACTTTCCCACTAGAACACACTAACTTCTGGGTACTGCTTGGCCTGGGGACACTTGTTATATTATCAGACAGAAAATGAATAGCAAAGTGCCAGCCACCACTCTCTCCCACTCCAATAGCTTCCAAGACTGGCTGCCTTCTCTCTCAGTACCCCTGATAAACACAGGCAGGAGGAAGCACTGGTATACTCTGGTCCCCATTTCCACTTTCCGATCCCACCCCGGCACCATCAGTCACTAATCCCTTCTCTTCTTCTGAAGCTTATTCCATTCTGTCCAGATTCTCATTGCTGTCACCTACAATCCTCCAACTCGTTCTTGCTCCTTCCAAATCAGGAGCACCGCCTTCCTGTGTACCCCAGCAATGCTTCCTTCAGACATCCTGACTTCTCAGTTCCTCCCCCTCCTAAACTCCCATGACCTTCTGATTACATTCTACCTCAACACCCCTGCTTTAGTGGTAGAACAGCTTCACACTTGCCACCTTGATCCTATTTACTGGTTTTCATCCCCGAGAGTCACAGATGATTTAACTGAACCCTTGGCTGACCTATATAGTATGGCCGGCGTGCTTTGAGTCATTCACCTTTCCTCTAGGCAGCCCTGGGTGAAAGCACAGGGGTTCACAAAGAAATGCCAAGATGCCCTCACACAGCCTTATTGGAATAGCAAGGAATAGGTGAGTATTGCAAGCAACTACCCTACTTCTTATGCATTAGTATACCACAATAACATAACTACGAGGGAGTCCAAAGCTAAGACTCTGGTGTTAGATTTGTTTCCCAACATCCAGGAAAAAGCAACTGTGATCACCTGTTTCTAGGCGAAAAGTCTAAATAAGCTGAATCAAAGTGACAAATGCCCTATGCTGAATGGTGGTGCCAGAACGACAGGGATTATTTAGATAGAGAAAAGTGAAAAGCAGTCAGTAGACAGTGTTTCCCATGGTGCCTGGCTTGTCACTCCCCAACTCTGTCTGACTAAATGGTTTACATGAAATGGATAAATTATTTAAAAGAATCTATCAGAGAAAGGTTCTCTGAACATCTATGTGTGCCTCTGGCTTACTCTCTCTTCTTTCCACTCATGTTCTCCCCTCTGTGAAACACTCTCCTCCTCCTCTCCCTCCTCTTCCTCCTCTTCCTCTGTCCCCCAGAAAAGCCAGACTCACTCCTTATGATGCAAATCACCATCTTCAAACAACAGAAATGGGAGGAGACTGAAGAAGGGCTCCCTGTGGGGATGTCTGGGAAGGCTGACAAATGATCAGGGCTGCAGAGAACCGTTACAAACACACACACACACACACACACACACACACACACACAGAGTTGGAAACAAAACTAGCTCTCAACTAAACATATCCGTTGAGTAGTAAGCAAGCACATTAAAAAATATTTTTTTACTAACCTTCCACTAAGTATTCAGGGGAAATCCTCAGCTAACCATCAGCTTGTGGGTCTATCCATCCACCAAGACAACAGCAGGTATGATCACTGCTCATTTTCATTTTGTAAGTTCCCAGCCTGCCTGGTCATCTGCTCCCAAAGGCTCCAATGGGCCTGTCCCCGACCCTTCTCTCTTCTTGCCTTTCCTCCTTTCTCTTCCCTGATGCTTCAGAGGCTGGCATTTTCCACAACATAATGCAGAGGTTCCTAGTCACTATGGCAGTGGCAGAAGGAGACCAACCAGACTGCCTCCCAGACTCCACACACTCAAGGCTGAGCCCCAAAGATCCCAAACTGGGCAACGCTCTGGTTCCAGGAGTTGGCTTCTATCAAGAAAGGAGTCAGACTGCTCACCTTTCCCTGTCCCCAGAGTCATTTCCGTGTTTTCAGGCATATCTACACACTCACCTCTGCCTAAATAAATAAGGTTAAGCCTCAGAGTAGGTAGAGACTCTGGAGTCTCCCAAAGTCTCCTAGGGTGGCCTGCCCAAGGCCTGGAGCAAGAGGATCTCCCCAACACAGATCCAATTCCAGACTGGGAGCCCATCTGCTGATTTGTATTTTTCTCTAATCCTGCAGGTGCCCTCCCCAGTCCCTTTGCTCAATCAGGCTCAGGCCCCCACACCACACTGCCACCAGGCTGGCACACAGCTGTACCAACTATAACAACTGGGGAGAACTGAAAGACTGACTTCAAGACCCTGTGCTGGGTTCTGGTAAGGTGGTGGTGCTAGTATCTCTATTTTGAAATCTCTTCCTGATCTTTTTGAAAGAAAGGACATATTTGGGATTTGACTGACCAGTCTCATCAGTGACTCTGGACTGGAGAGTTCTAGGAGATCTCATTCCACGAAAACAAGAAGTTCAAAGTTCCCATATGGACAAAAAAAATATTTATTATATCAGCACTTTTTGTCATAGCAAAAAGCAAGAATGAATGAAAAATCATTTATTAAGTGCTTATTATGTGCCAATCACTTGTGCTAAGTGCCAGGGACATGAATAGAATAAAAAGAAAAAGAAGGGAATATGGTGGGTTCCCATCAATTGGAAAATGACTAAAAAACAGTGTTATACATATGCAATGGAATACTACAACACCATAAGAAATGAAGAATGTGAGGGGGAGCTAGGTGGTACACTGGAGAGAATACCAGCCCTGGAGTCAGGAGAACCTGAGTTCAAATCCAGCCTCAGACACATAACACTTACTAGCTGTGTGACTCTGGGCAAGTCACTTAACCCCATTGCCTAGCAAAAAAGAAAGAAAGAAAGAAAGAAAGAAAGAAAGAAAGAAAGAAAGAAAGAAAGAAAGAAAGAAAGAAAGAAAGAAAGAAAGAAAGAGAGAAAGAAAGAAAGAAAGAGAGAGAGAAAGAAAGAAAAAGAGAGAAAGAAAGAAAAGAAAGAAAGAAAGAAAGAAAGAAAGAAAGAAAGAAAGAAAGAAATGAAGAATGTAAAGAATACAGAAAAACTCAGGAAGATTTGTATGAGTTGATGGCAAGTACAATAAGTAACAGTATGACCAGAACAATGTAAAGGAAAAGTATAAGAGAACTCTCACCAAAGCAGTGACTAATCCTGATGCAGAGGACCCATGCTGAGACAGACCACATGCTCCCCCATGTCCCCCTCCAGCAGAGAGGGATGAACTCTACATGCAAGAATGAGACACGTGTTGCCAGACGTGGCCAATGTGTTGCTATGTTTTGTATAGTTACACTTTGTCACAAGAGAGTTCTCTGGGGAGATAGGAGGGGGATATATGGGAAATGACCAAGATATAAAAAAATCAGTTATACCTTTTTTTTTTTTTAAAGAGAAAGAAATCCAGTTCAAAACAGAAGCAGGAAGGACAAACCACCACAGAAAAAATACAAAAGGAAGGCCAGAAGCAAACACAGACAGCCAGGATAGCTTTGAAAGTTACTTGTTGAATTTATTATAGACTTAAAAGGGAAAGCTGTATGTAGTGATAGATTCTGTTTCACACACCATTCTCTTTTCTGTTCTACTTTATATATGAAAATTCTCATATTATTTGGTGTCAAGTTCAATTTTTTTTATTTAAAGGAAACAGAGCAAGTATCTGACGGGGATAAGAAAGTAGGAAACATGAAAAGCTGAATTAAGATGAAGGAATAGAGGAAAGAAAGCTATAAACCACTCGGGGGTCTTCAAAAGGAAATCATTCAGCCACGTCCACTTCTCTCCATGCTTCTGCGTTCCTCTCTGTACCCCTCTATCCACCCAACCATCTGAAGAGCTTGGTGATTCTCCACTCCCTTTCCCCAAACCCTGACTCCCTTAATGTGGAGTTGGGCCTCCCTTCATACTCCTCCCTACTTTGCCCAAATCAGTGTCTCTGCTGGGGAAATAAAAAAGATGTCCCTCTCCCTTTCCCCACATAAAGATCATCAACAGAGAAGAAAGCTTTAGCCCTTCACTGACCCACACGCTACAGCATCTTCCCCAAGCATACACTTGACACTTTGCTCCAGAATTTTTTTTCATATAATTACACCTACTAGTGGAGGGGGGTTTCAGACACCGTACATAGTTCTAGGACTCCTACTGTTCAAGAGAAGGGTACCAAACCACACTTCAGTGAGAACCCTGGGACAGACACCCAACCTGAGCACCAACGAAGCACTAATTATGAGAACATGATGATCTCCAGTCAAATGACAGCTGCATGGATTCAGAATTGGAAGCCATCTGGTTCAGTCTTTCCATTTTAGGAAACTGAAGCCCATGGAGATGCTCTCATTCTATGCTCTGGTGGAGATTTGAAGAAGAAAGAGATTGGTTCATACCAATCTTCCTAGGTGGTTGCTTATGAAACAATAATCTCCCATTGTTCATATATCACAAACTGCCCGACCTCTCCCCAACTGATGTTGGACCAAACGATACAAGCCATCACTTTATAAACATGTTGCCAAAAAAGTCTTGTTTGACAGAAGGTGGCCAGAGGGAAAACCACCAAGAGCGGCACACCTTGGGAGGATGAAGAAAAGTGAAACAAGGGACAGGAAGATAAAATGAGCTCTTTCTCTGCCAAATGGTCTCACGACCAACAGTGAGCTAAGCTCCATGAGGCCTGGAACTCCAATGGCTAATGCTCCGGACCAGCCCAGGTCTATGCTTTCACCTTGGCCTTTCTCCTTCCAAGGACATTGTAAAACACTGGACTATAACTGCAAGGTCTTAAAATGGCCCCATGCAAGAAGGGCCCATTGGCCTCACGTACCTGTCCTCCTCAAGCACAGAGGAAACCCCCAATTGCGGGGCAGCGATGCCACCATCCAAATCCAACCACTCCAGAGAGCAACCGCTGTTCTCAACAGAGACCTCTCCTACCTGGGGACAAAAGGAGGAAACGGAATGAAGAAGCCATCACTCCCTAGCCTCTGACCACCATTAATGGGCGCATCTGTCAGGCTGAGCTCATCCAGGTGGATTCTCACAGGGCTGGAGGCCACAGTAGAAAAAGACACCTTCCTGGTGCTTCTCCCATGGCAAGAAGCACCATGACTAGCAGCGACCTAAGAAAGAGAACGTACTTACCAATCTCTTCTGCCTTAGCGCAGCAGCCTCTGCGGGGTGAATGAAACGGAATTTCTGTGTTTCCCCCAGAATAATAATAGCTCCTTTGGGAAAAAGAAAGCAAAGGATTTAATATTGAGTCCTTACTGTATGTCAGGTACCGTGCTAAGGGCTAGGCGTGTGTGTGTGTGTGTGTGCGTGCATGCGCGTGTGCGCATCTGCACACGCACACGTGCGCACACGCACACACACACAGAGTTCAAATATCCACCAACTGGCTGGCAGTAAAAGCAGTTCAGGGAAGAAAAAGGGAAAGACATCATCATGGGGCCAGATTGGTAAGGGACAGCTTTCTCTGCTAAAATGATAACAATAGCTAGCATTCATATAGCACTAAGGTTTGCAAAAGCAATTAACAAATGTTACCTCACAACAATAAAAATAATAATAATAACTAATATTTATTTTAGCGCTGACTGTGTGCCAGATGTTGTGCTAAGTGCTTTAAAATTATTATCCCATTTGATCCCTACAACAACCCTAGGAGATTGGAGCTACTATTTATCCTCATTTGACAGATGAGGAAACTGAGGCTGAGAGGTTAAAAATTACTTTCTCAGGTAAAAAGTTAGTATATATTTGAGGCAAGATTTGAACTCAGGCCTTTCTGATGCCACGACCAGCACTCTATTCATTGGGTCACCTTGCTGCCTGGGGAAATCTGGTAAGATTTCAAGTGACAGATTCATCCACAAACATGGAGCTAAATGGCAGATAGATTCTCTCCACCCTAGGCTTCTGCCACTGTGATTCCCTCTCCTACAAGCAAGGGGGAAATCTCCAAATCCAGATAAATCTCAAAAAAAGACCCACACTAAACAGAAGTTCTGTTGCCATTTTTTTCCTCAAATTTTTTTAATTTTTTTTTTTTTTTTTTAGGCAATTGGTTTAAGTGACTTGCCCAGGGTCACACAGTTAGTGTCAAGCGTTTGGTCTGAGGCCAAATTTGAACTCAGGTCCTCCTGACTTCAGGGCCAGTACTCTATCCACTGCACCACCTAGCTGCCCCCTTAATTTTTTTTATCATGAACTTAGTCATCAAAAAACAATTTCAAAATACACAGGATGACAAAAGAAAGGCTTATTTATCCATGGATTTCCATTCTGTACAGTTTGGGTTTTTGTTAAAGCAAATTTAACAAGGTAGTAACAAAATTGCCCTGTTTGTGTGCCCTTCTGAACTTTTTTTTTTTTTTGCATTTTTAATGCTTTATTCTGCTCTCTTTGTTTTCCCATCCTTTTTACTATCCATAAAATCACCCCTCCCCCATAACACAGAAACCATCTCATAACAAGTATAGTCAAACCCAGTAATGTCAAATTCAAAGAGAACAGATCCCTGCAGACCACATATTGGCTTATATGTAATTTATTTTGTTTAATACTTTTATTTATTTTCTTTAACACTGCCCAATGACATTGCAATCTGGTTCCTTGTTTTGTGGGCAGCATTTGCAGGTGGAAAGTTTGATACCTCTCCTCTAGCCAAATGCATCATCAGTACATTAGTTCCATTGTCTTTTCTGGATCAGGTTTATAAAAGAGAGCCTCCCATTACTCTTGGGAAGCTTAGAAGGCTCTATTCCAAAGGCTTTCCCATTCCCCAGAACGGTGATTTCCAACTAAGAACTGCTGGCCATGCACAGTTATAGCAGTTCAAAGAACCCAAATTTCCCCATTTCCAGAATGCAAAGAGAAGACACTGAGAGGAGGGGTCCGACAAGCTTACCTTGTGTCAAGCGACAGGAATCAGTGACCTCCTGGCCATTGACAATGCAGCGGGCTCCCAGGGCAGGCTGAAGGGTGACCACACCACATGCACTGGTGATGGTACAGTGATCTCTTTCTATCCACTGACCCTGAAGGACTGGGGAAAATGCTAGTCACAATGGAGCACAGGGTCACCTTATAGGGCAACTTCATTCTTTCCATGAGAAAATCCAAATCCAAGCCTAGAAAACCTCAAAGCAAAAGCATCACAGGCAGAAAAGAGACCCCATTCCTTCTTCTCGGTCTACTCTAGAAATTATTTATACTTTGGGTCCACTCCAAACCATACTGACCCAAAACCAAATCTCAAGTAGTAGAAATAGGAATGAGCACATTGGCTACCAGGTGCTCCAGAGTTCGTTTCTTTTTAAGCAAATGCTTTATGGATCCTTTCTTATATCCCTAACACTTTCCCATCCCCTAGTCAATAGAACCTTCTCTTGAAACAAAGGGAAAAGCTAAGCAGAAGATACCAACACACCAGTCATAGGGGTTGAGTCCCCTCCCACACGGCATCCTCAAGTTCCCCACAGAGGGATCGGCCAGACACAGGCATTCCAACCCTTTGTACCTCTTTGAGGGGACAGAAGATTACACTCATGTCTTCACTCACCTATATCCTGCTCTTGGTCAGAGTCAATCCTTCCTATTTTTGTTGTCCCTTCCTATAAGGATATAATAAAAGTTATTTTAAAGGTAGGAAAAAAGATACAGACAGTTCTACTTCTGAAGCTAAGCCTAATGTGGTTTAGAATCACTTGTATCTTGTCATGAACATCTCCTACTCATTCCTGACAGCTCTAACTTTTCCCTTTGGTACCAGACTTTCTTTCTCTGCCTCAGCTCCCACTTATTTATTCAGGAACCAAGAAAAGATACTCAAGTTGAATTAATCTTAAAAGACCGTCCAGGCTATTTCTAAACACCCAGGATATGTCACCCCTGACAGATGACAGATGGTGGTAATCTCCTTATCATGCCTGTGCTACAAGCCTGCAGGACAGAAGTTTTCATTTTACAGCGGGAGGCTTGGAAAGGGGTGTTTGCCTTTTTGGAAAACTCGATGGAGTCATGCAATGGGATCATCTGATGCGTGAGGGGCCACAGTCATCACTACCAGTCAGCAAACCTCCATCCCTAAGGAGAAGTGGAAAGGAACCCCATTGTCCCTGAGAGGTGGGGCACTTTTAAAGATGCCCTGGCCCTGCTTCAATCAAGTCAATGTTTAGAGAAAAGCATTTTGTGGAAACAGAAGAAATCACTGGATTATTACCTTCTCACTGCTCAGATGTAGCTTAACAGACCTCACAGTCTAAAAAAAAGGGTGAAGAACAAAGAAAAAGCACCATCTAAAATTAGAGAGAGGGAAAGAGAGAGGAGAGAGGAGAGAGAGAGAGAGAGAGAGAGAGAGAGAGAGAGAGAGAGAGAGGGAGGAGTTAGTATGAACCAAGCACTGTATTAGTGGGAGGCTAGAGCACACAAGCTCCCTAGCTGCCTTTCACTTGATTTTTGTTTGAATTTTTAAAAATTAATTTGTGAACACTGTAATTATAATGACCAGGTCTGGTTTAAAAAAAAACTGAAAAAATACACCTGCCTCCTTTCACCGCAGAGGTGCCTGTGGCATGGTATGGCAGTCAATATGTGTTGGGCTGACCTTCCTCTTGTCTTCCTTTTTAAATCCCTGTTTCAAGGGATGGCTCATTAGATTGGGGGTGGGGGAGAGTCAGGGATGTAAATACTAACAAATGAACTTGACCTTTTAAAAAAGTAACAATAGAAATAAAATAAAATTTTTTAAAATAAAAAAAAATTAGTTTTGAGACTACTCCGCCTTTTTTTCTAGAATGCAACAATACAGTTACAGGACTTCTGAAGAGAAACTGAATGTGGCCCTTGATTGTTCTCTCCCAGGTATATCACCCTTAGGTATTGGTGTCATCACACAGCCTCTCTGGGGGAGAAAAAAAAAGGAAAAAAATTTACATGATAACTTTATTACATATTTAAAAGGAATAGCAAGTTCTACAGAACAGATCTGCAGTTTCATGTGCAATCATCTTTTTATTATACTATATTATGGAAATGCTTGTTTTATTCCATAAATTAAAAACAAATAAAAAAAATGTTAAGAGTTAAGGGGAACTAATGAGGCTATGGAAGGCTATAAAACCTCAAAGAGGAATGAGGTCTGGTTCCAAGGAGAGCTCTCTGCATCCATGAATAGACACGTGGTCTTTTGGACGTGTTCAGAGATACAAAACATGCTAAACAAAAGGCAGATTTCCTAACGGGGGACAAGGCAGCTGGAAACGCCTCCTGTACAGGGTTTGTAGAACATACCTCAGTGGGACAGAGACAAGGGATGCTGCCTGTTTTGTGTTCCTTCAAGCTGAAGTGTATATCTGCCAAAATAAGCCATCAGCCAAAATAAGAATCAGCTCCTGGGGTACTAGCAGGACAACAAGCCAACCATCAGATAAGGAAATGGAGTGAGACCCTGGGAAACTGAGTAAGCTGCACCAGTCCAATATATTAGGTTGCTGGTTCCAAACAGGAAGCATGGATAACAAATCACAGCTTAACATTTAATGTTATAGGTTGCAAGTATTCATTTGGGAATGACTGAAGATCATTTCATCAGATCTGCACCTCATGACTGCCCTGAGAGATAGATAGTATAAGTATTAGCATGTGCATTTTACAGATGAGGAAACAGACATGCATGTTAAGTGACTTGCCTAGAGCCACAAGGGAAATAGAGGGCAGATGGGGCAGCAAGGTGGTGCAGTGGATACAGCACCAGCCCTAAAGTCAGGAGGACCTGAGTTCAAATCTGGCCTCAAACCAAACACTTGACACTTACTAGCTGTGTGACTCTGGGCAAGTCACTTAACTCTAATTCCCTTAAAAAAAAAAAGAAATAGGGGGCACAGACAGACCTTATGACTCCAAGTCCAATATGCCTTCCATTCCACAAGGAAAGAGCACAAGATATATACAGCATAAAAAAAAAATTGAAAAAAAGACATACACAGCATATAAAAAGCTTAAGAAAAACTCAGCCCCCTCAGTTCTACAGAAAACCCCGAGAGGTCCCTGAACTAACTGGGCTGTATTCAGTTGAGGTCATCCTCTCCTTTAAAGCATCCAGGTACTTTTTCAACATCCTGTAACATTCAACATCCTGTAACATCTAGCTACCTAGAGCTAGACGGCTATCATTTTACTTCCTGCCTCCTCAGGAATAACAATAATGTAAGGACCAGAATAGTACGGAAGGCAGATCGATTCTGCCTCAAACACCTGGAAGATTCCTCAATTTAATGCCTAACCCACCACATCTGGGGTACATCTTCCTTTCTTTGTGACTCTGGCTGAATGAGGAGGGACTAGGCTGGACTGGGGATTTCACTGATACAGGAACTCCCTCAGTGAGAAACTCCCTCCACTGATGCAGCCCAGCACCTTCACTGCAATTTACAGTCTTATTATATGGAAATACGTTTTACGTGATTGCACATATATAACCTATATCAAATTGCTTACCATCTTAGGGAGGGGAAAGGGAGGTAGGGAGAAAATTTGGAACTCAATTTATTTAAAAAAATGAAAACATTGTCTTCATGTATAATTGGAAAAAAATAAAATACCATTTTAAAAAAATGTATAGTCTTTGAGTTAGCTAGAACACTGAGGAGGTAAGGCATCTGCCCAAGGTTGCACAGCGTACATTAGAGGGGTAACATGAACCCAGGTCTTCCTGATGCTAAAGGCAGCTCTCTAACCCCTTCACCTCCAAGAGAATGAGGCGGGGAAGGGGAGGAATTACATGTTTATTGTACCTCAGACCCCAGTTCAGGGAAAGTATAAAGCCAGGGCTGCCTGAGGGAATACAGTGAGGTAGGCACTCAAATTCCCACGTGCCCAAAGATAGGCTTCCTCAATCTTACGTCTGAAAACCCGTCTCTGTGATGAGATGTCCCTGAGGTTCTACCCTGAGCGCAGAGGCTTGCAGTCAGCTCTCTCTGCACGCCTGCATGGGGAACGTGATTTCTCTAAGGACAACAGCTGCATTAGGAATCTGTTATTGGGGGGTGGGGCAGCTAGGTGGTCCAGTGGATAGAGCACTGGCCCTGGAGTCAGGAGGACCTCAGTTCAAATCTGGCCTCAGACACATAACACTTACTAGCTGTGTGACCCTGGGCAAGTCCCTTAACCCCACTGCCCAGCCAAAAGAAAAAAATTAAGCTATTAAAATTTAAAGCTTTAATAACTTAAAACTGCACTAAGATTTTTGGGACACCCTGTATCATGTTTAGACTGAGGGATACAATGGTCCTGCTGAACTCTGCCCTGGTCAGATCACTGTGTCCAGTCTCGGGTGCCACATTTTAAAAGGAACATTGGTATGTCAGGAGCATGACTGAAAGCAGCATGACCAGCATGACTACCCCCTCCCCCACACACACACATATCCAGGAGGGGACCTGAAAGCATGCCATCCTGAAAGATACATGCTAAAAGAAGTGAAGACGGTTGGTTAACCTGGAGATGAGATTTAGAGGGAACAGGCAGGGGTTAGGACACGAGTTTGTCCGGTCCTTTTCCAGTCGTGTCTGACTTCGTGACTCCATTTGGGGTTTTCTTGATAAAGACACTGGAGTGGTTCGCCATTTCCTTCCCCAGCTCATTTTACAGATGAGGAAACTGAGGCAAAAAAGATTCAGTGGCTTGCCCAGGGTCACACAGCTAGTAAATGTCTGAGGCTGGATTTGAACTCAGGAAGATGAGTCTTCCTGACTCCCCGTCGGGCACTCCATCCAGCTGCCCAGGACACAAGAGCAATCCTTAAATATCTCAAGTCTTGTTGTGGGTTTTAAAAAAGGACTGAATTTTTGCTGCACACAGAATTGGGACCAATGGACAGATGTTACAGGTGTTACAGGAAGGTCAAGTCCCTTATGATCTAAATTCTATGATTCTATGATGGTCACACTAGCCTCTATTTCTTTAAGACTTGGGGCAGCTAGGTGGCACAGTGGATAGAACACTGGCCCTGGAGCCAGGAGGACCTGAGTTCAAATCCAGCCTCAGACCATTGACACTTACTAGCTGTGTGACCCCAGGGAAGTAGCTTAACCCTAAATGCCTTGGGGAAAAAAAAAAAAAAGATTGAGCTCTGCAGGGCTGACAATGCTTTGAAGATAGAATTTCACAGGTCTTCATAACTCCATTGTCATGCCTCAACATTTAGAAGAAAGAATACAAGACTTATTTTTGCATTCTAGAGATGGATAAATCAAGGCAAAGAGAAGACAGCTTGTCTAAGTCACATAATAATGTATGCTGGGAAATAATGCTGGTACTCCTGACTCCCGACTTTGTACACTGACCCACCGAAGTTCACTACTCCTGAGACAAAAGAAAGAGGACGACCCTTCACAAATAGTCAAGTGGACCAATGTCCTGGAAGCTACCACCACCAATGTAGATGAGCCTGATGGGTTTCATTACCACCAAGTGGTTGAAGCAAATATGCTCTGTGGGAACCATACTGCCTGCCCCATGCCTCTCCTTGACTGCCTGCTGGCCCTAGCAGGTAAAGAGAAGCAGGAAGATACCTTGCAAAAAAGCGTTTTTCCCCCTAAAATCTGAGCCTGCTCCAAACCCCCTTACCCTGAGGTGATACAGCACAACCCCAGTGCTCAGCACATCATCATCCAGGACCATCAGGTGTGGCAGGTTGGAATCAATCGTCACCCCGGCTTTCTTCTTGTTGATGTCAACGTTATACTGCTCCATGAGAGCCTTCCAGTCTTTCCACTTCTGGGTCCAGTCTTTGGAGAGTTGGTCTCTCTGGGAAAAAGAGTCACAGGAGCAACATGTTCCCAAAGACTTGGCGTGGGGCAATCAGTTTAAGGGCAGAGGACAACCTGGCTAGAGGTTCTCACTGTCCTAAATGCCTTTTCTCCTTTACTCACCATCACTATTGATCATATTAATATTGAACTGAGCAGGAATTTTTAAATGAATTGGGAAAGGAGTGGTCAGAAAAGCAGACAACCAATAACTATCACTTGCCTTCCTGCCATCATTTTTCTGTTAGACCAATCCATGGACATCCTCTGCTTTTTCCCTGATAGGGCAAGGCTCAGGGAAGCAGCCAGTAGCCATCCTCCTAACATGACACAAGTGAGCTCATTGGTACCACAGTGAGGGGATCATCCACCTAGCATAATGGGATGCCCTGTGGATTCAGAATGACAGGTTTAAAAACTGCTCCAGTCTCTGTTCACCTGGTTCTTCCCAGCACTGACAAGCTACCAAGAATATCTTGACTATTCCTGGGGTCTCCTATTCAAAATATAGATGACTACATCCTACTTTTTGTTGATCAGTGGAAACAGGACCATCACAGGCTGGAGAAAGGGAGTAGGGACATCCTCTTGTTTCTCCCTAAAGGACTATAAAACCGGAGGAGGCTTAAGATGGTTCTGTTCTAAGAAAGTCACTTTGGGGAGGATGGGGGTAACAGGAAGAGACAGCAAAAAAAGCACTAACTCTTCTCATCTACTCACCAGACAGTCTTACATTTTCAGATCTTTTTTCTTCTACACTGTCCTCTCCCTTACCCCCACCTGTCTCTAAATTAAGACACTAGCTCTTAGACTAAAGCCATGAGCTACCTTAAAATCCTGGCCCCTCTGAGCCCTGGCCCCAGTTGACAGGAAGTAGAACTAAAGCCAGAAAGTTGGAACTCTCACTACTGACCTCCCCCCTACCCCATCCTGCCACCAGAGAATATGATGTTTGTCAATGGCAACCAGTCAACCACATCCTTCCCTTCCCCTAAGCTCCAAAGAAAAAGGTACAGCCTTAAGAACATTAGCCTGAGGGCAACACTATTAACAGCATTCTCTTCAAAATTGGGAGGGACAATTCAATCAAACAATTATTAAAGGCTTACTATGTGCCTGGCACTGTACTACCCAGTGGAAATAAGAGGCAAAAATGCAACCAGTCTTTGACCTCAAGGAGCATATATTCTGCTTGGAGGGGGGAGAAGATGAGGAAACATAAATGTGAATTAAACTCATATCACTTCTAAACTTGACTCATATTTGGGAATTTTGTTTTACCCAGAGAAATAACTGCCTTTACCTATTCTATTCAATCACTGACAAATCCTGAATGAGCCAGCATACCCCATGTCTTGTGTTTTGATTGTATGTTGGGTTGTTTTTGGGCAGGGGTGAGGGTGGTAGGGGCTGGGGGATGGAGGATAGTGGTATACACTGGAGTTGGGGGTTATGAGTGAGAGGGAAAGACTAATCTGTCTTCCCAGGGAACTGAAGAGCTGGTTGGCTAAGATCTGGGTCAGAAAGGGAGCTTCCCACACACACCACTAAGTGAATACCTGAGTCCAAAAGGTACCAGTACTCAGTAGTGGTATTTTCTATAAGAAAAAAAAGGATTCAATCAAAGAGGCAAAATCTGCCTTAAAGGAATAGCTCCAATATAATGGTCACTGGGTTGAGGTCTCCCTTGTAACCTCTAACCTATGTCTGGACACCCCTCACACAAGCCAAAGGGGGTCCCACTGGGACTTGGGCTCAGAGTTCAAGTGTTATTTCTGCCATTGTCATTGTGGAAGCCACTATTTTTCTTGTTCCCACAGTTGCTGGCTACAATTCCCTTTTCTCCTTCTTCCTAGAAAGTGAGGGTATTTGAAGCAAAACTTCTACCACCACCAAAAACATGCCCACTCCCCTCCTAACCCACCCTTTACCTCTCCCTCCTTGGCTTATAGGGAAAAGAAAATATTCTTGGTTCCTGCCCATCCTATTGGCTGTGTAAATCCAATAAACTTAGAGAGATTCCAAAGTGACCTCCAAGACGTCTTTTACTCTTGCCTATGAAGACACTTCTTCCTTTGAAACAGTTCTTGGGTTTACTCCCCTTGTCATCATTTTCTACTGGCACCAGAGATAGTCCAACCTCTCTTCACCTCATGAGTAGAACACCATGAAATACCCCTAAATGGTTTCTCTGCCCCGAGTCTTTACCCATCAATCTCTTTTCCCCATTCTGCTCTTCACCCAGTTACCAGACATCATAATCTTCCTGACACACCATTTCCATAATTTCATTTCCCTGTGCAAAAACTGACTGTGGTTCCCCTTTGCTCCTTCGACCAAATCCCAACTCCTCTACCTGGTTTTCAAAGCCTTATATAAATGAGCTCTACCCTACTTAATTAATTTTATCTCATTTACTGTTGTTGTGTCACTTCAGTCATGCCCATCTTTTCGTGATCCCATCTTGGCAAAGATACTGAAGTGGTTTGCCATTTCCTTCTCCAGCTCATTTTACAGAAGAGGAAACTAAGGCAAACAGGGTTAAGTGACTTGCTGAGAGTCACACACATGCTTCTCTCCAATATGCAACCACTGCTCCACTCAGACTAGTCTCCTTCTTGTCCCCTGCACACATCTGGTTGCTTCACACCTCCATACCTTTGTCTAAGCTGTTCCTCCCACCTGGAATAGCTCTCTCCTCTCCCCTCATTTTATCCAAATCCTATCTATCTTTCAAGGTCTCCCTCAGAATCCCAAAATTTGAGAGTTGGAAGGGACCTCTGCGGCCATCTACTCCAATTCATACACGAAAGGAATCCCCACTATAATATATTTGATGAGTGGTCATCCAGCCTCTGCTTGAAGACCTCCAAGGAGGAGGAACCTATCACCTCTGAAGACAGGCCATTACACTTCTGGACAGCTCTAATTGTTAAGCTTTTCCTGACATCAAGTCTAACCTTGCTTCTCTATATCTTCTACTCATTGGTCTTCTGGAACTGGACAGAAAAAATCTAATTCCTTTAAAACACAACATCCCTTCAAATACTTGACTCAATTATCCTGTCTCCCCCACCCCGAAATCTTCCCCAGGCTAAACACACTTAGTCTTCAACAAATCCTCATTATGACGTGAACTCAAGGCATTTGACAATCCTGGTTGCCCTCATAAGGACACTCTCCAGCTCATCAACATCCTTCTTAAAGCATGTCTCCCAGAAGGAAATACGACACTCCAGATGAGGGCAGATGAGGGCAGGGTGCAGTGGCACCTGCACACTATTTCCTCTTTCTGGAAGCTATGACCCTCTTAAGGCAACCCAAGAGCACGGCAGCTTTTTTTGGTCGTTGTATCACACTGCTGACCTATACTGATTCTACAATCCACTAAAACCCTAAGGTGGTGTTCTGTTTTGACAACGGCTCCCTAACTACCCGTCTTATACTTGTTATGTTCCTAGGATCATAAGCTGCAGAGCTGGAAAGGAATTGGGAGGTCATCTGATTAAGTGACTTGCCCAAGGTCAAACAGGTAGTAAGCAGCAAAGAGAGAATCTGAAGCCTGGTCCTTGGACTCTGGAGCCAGGGTTCTTTTCAGTGTGCCATGCTGCATCTGAGGGTAAGAACTTAACTATATCACTACTGGATTCCTTTCTGTTAGATCTTCTAGCCTGTCAAGATCAAGCCTGACTCTATCAGCTGGTGTGTGAGCCATCCCTCCCTAATTTGTATCCATCTACGCATTCACTCAAGACTCTGATAAAAATGTTCAACAGCAACAAGGTCAAGTACAGAGTATAGATTTCTGGAACACTACTAGATAACTCCTTTCATGATGACATAGAGCCATTAACAACTATTCCTTGCATCAGGACATTTCAATCAGTTCTTAATCCACCTAATAATTGTATTATCATCTAGAGCAAAGTCATTTTTTTGTCATGAACCCTTCTGATGGTCTGGTAAAGTCTTTGGACCCCTTCTCAGAATAATATTTAAAGTAAAATAAAATGGGGGCAGCTAGATGGCACAGTGTATAGAGCACCAGCCTTGGAGTCGGGAGGATCTGGGTTCAAATCTGGTAACAGACACTTGACATTTACTAGCTGTGTGACCCTGGGCAAGTGTCACTTAACCCCGACTGCCTCACCAAAAAGCAAAACAAAGCAAAAAAAAAAAAAAAAAACCAAAGTAAAACAGAAAGCAAAAAAAAAAATTTTAAGTACATAAAATATGATGCAAAAGATTATAAGGGAAACCAATTACATTTAAATACAACTATCAAAATATTTTTAAAAAGAAGTTTACAGACCCCTGGTTAAGAACCCCTGGTCTAGATCAGAGCAGACTGTTTTACAGCATCAAGACTTCCAAGTGCGGCCTAAAGCAGATTAAAATTTAACTGGGAAATATTTAACAAAATAAGTAAAAATACAATAGAACAGAGATAATGTTAATATGTGGTTGTCTAAGTCAATGTGCAGCCCACAGGGATTCTTATGTACAGTTTAGAGACCTATGTTTCCATTTGAGTTTGGTACAACCAGTCTTGATCACATATTTCCATGAGAATAGTATGAGACATTTTATCAAAAGTTTTGCTAAAACTTAAGTACACAAGATCCGTAATACTCTCCTCATCTACTAGTCTAATGATCTTGTCAAAAAAGGAAACGCAGTAAGTCTGGCATGACTTATTCTTGATAAAGCCATGGTAGCTCTTCGTAATGACTGCTTTCCTTCTGAGAAGTTCATCAACATTTAACAATAATGATGATAATAATAACAATAACACAACAGAATAACTTTTACATACTATATGCCAGATGCTATACCAAGCACTTTACAAACAGCATCTCATTTGTCCTCAAAATGGTCCTGGGTGCTATTATTATCCCCATTTTACAAATGAGGAAATTGAGGCAAGGAGAGGTTAGCTAGTAAGTGTCTGAGGCCGAATTTGAACTCAGGTCTTCCTGACTCCTGGCCCAGTGTTCCATGTACTATATGACTAGCTGCCCTTTTCTTTAATTATTTTTTAAAATAATTTTTGTTAAAAATGTTTTTAAAATAATTTTGCCTATTTCTTTCATTATCCATCCTAGTATTTTCCTAGGAATTGAAGACAAGATCACTGGTCACTGTTTACAGCTTTTCTCTTCCCTTTTCAAAAAAATCAGGACGACATTTGCCTTTCTCATGAAGTCTTCTGATTATTTCAACCTCAGTGGCTTCTCCATTTTCTCAACTATTATTGCACATAAAAGAAATTTTTATAATAATTCCCTTTTACATTTCTTCTTTAAGAATAAATTTTATTGATGTCTTTTGTTTTTTTTTAACATAATAGTTGTTTCCAAATATATCCTCTCCCTTTAAAAAAAAAACCTTCTAACAAAAATCTCCCTTGCAACAAAGAAAAATGGTTAAGAAAGCCAACTCAATGAATGACTACATCTGACAGTGTAAATAACATTTCACACCTGTGGTCACCCAGCTTTCCAACAAAAAGGGGGATCTATTTCTTCATGTCTTCTCTGGGGTTAAGGTAAGTCATTACAATTACTAAGCATTCAGGTTAATTTAAATTTTTTTTATATTATTGGAGCAATTGTGTATATTATCCTCCTCATTCTGCTTACTTCACCCTGCATTAGCTCACACAAGTTTTCTAACGTTCCTCTGTATTCCCCATATTTGTTATTTTTCTAGTGCATTAACACTCACAAGCTGCAATGTCTTTAGCATTCTCCAATCAACTGGCACCCAGCTCGTTTCCAGTATTTTTGATTTTTGCTACCACAAAAAAAAGTGCTATTAGAGACATTTCGGTAAACATAGTACCTTCACATCTATAGTTTAGCATTTAGTTGTTTTCAAACTATCTCCCTAGCTAGACTGCATGCTCCTTGAAAAACAAGAGACCACATCCTAGGGCACAGTGTTTGGTGGGCATTCAATACAACCTGTTGAATGATTAAATGAAAAGAAGTCCTTCCTCTATGCTCGTGTGTGGTGGCCCCCAAAAGGAGCCCCCACAATCCCCTTGAAGGAGCATAAGCAGTACGGAAGAAAAGCCACACAGGAAACACATCATTGCCATGAAGGACAAAGGAGCTGGAAATCTCCAGCCAAACTAAAGAGAGCTCTATCCCAGAACTAATGGACAATCATAAGGACCTCCCCTCTCCGCTCAATACTGCCACTTACCCCAACCAAAACTACTCACCTTCATCTCATTATGGAGAACCAGCTCCTTCAGGTTTCCATTCCTTCCATCTGTGAAGGGACTCAAGTTCCCCTGGACGAACAAAGGGAGCAGAGATGGTCATTGGGCAGAAGGAGCCTCTAAGCATTCTTGGGAGGGAAGATGCAAGAAGGAAGAATTTCTCTCCAAAATCAGAAATAAGAGGGAAGCTAATTAAAAGTGCATATGATCAGATGAGGGGAAAGGATTTACAGAAATAGGGAGTTTTTGCCCTTCCATAATTATTAACAACCTCAGAGAAACATACCCCTCTATCTTTCACCCGACTACCCATATGAGTAAACATGCAATGCTTCCTCTTCACCCTAAGGGCCAAGGTGACCCCAGGAATGATGCCAGAGGAGCAGCTACACTGGGTCACCTAGTCCTCTCACACCACCACCACCATGCAAGACTAGAGAAAATAGCTGGAGCTCTCTCATGAGGAATTTCCTGCTTGTGTAGGGGAAGGTTCTGGGTATCTCACATACCAGTTCAAAGCTCAGGAGCATGCCTTTCAACCTTTCAATTTCTTCCCGAAGTTCTCTGATTAGTTTTACATTTGCATCCTAAAACAGAGAGGACTGGAGATGATTAGTGGGTGGTGCCAGGTTCCCAGGTCTATGCAGCCAACCAGCAATCACGATTTCAACCAGCTAGTGAGCAAATACTTTCTACTACACAATTCAGGAGGCATTACTGGAATTTTTCACTAAAATGATTAAAGAGGCCTTTAGGAATCTACTAAAATTTTTCATTCAAGATTCATCTAAGTGACCTAGTCATCCTTAATCTCCCCTTTTAGGTCATAATATACAAAGAAATAGTAAAAGAGTTTGCAACTGAAGGAGAGAAGCCTAAGACACATAAACAAATAAAAACAAAATCAGAATGAATTTCTGTAGCACCTAGAAATTTGCAATGCTCTTTCCTGAAATGAAAAAATATTGGGGATTTTCAAAGGGATGGTCTTACAAAAAAAATAAATAAACGCTATGCTAGCAGGGTCAAGATGAGAGGTCAAAGAAGTTTTGCCACCCTGGGAGAAAATATTTCAGTCCCTCATCTTCTGGTACCAATGCTGTGATCTGGGATGTGGGCAAGATAGAAATAAGCAAGGGGACAGGATATAGGAGTGTAGAAATGAGACCTGAGGCCAGCCTTGGAGGGCAGTACCATCAGTGGCACCTACCACTCCCATCCAGGGTTTCAGATGATAAGCTCACCTCATTCACACGCGGTTTGTTTATGATGTTTTTGGCACTGGATGCATATCTCAGTGTGCTCATGGTCTCACTGTAACTGGAGTTTGCAGGAGACACAGCTGAAGCAGGGAGGAGAAAGTTAAAAGAATTACTAACCCCGCCAAATCTCACGTATCCTACCATCTCCAATCTACTTACTGGAGCTCTTGCCACTGATGGCCTAACATGTGAATTTTTAAAAACTAGGAAAATGGACAAGGCCTATGCAGACGTGGCTCATCCCTCTGGGCCAGAACATGGCCCTTACACAAAGAGCTGACCCCAATCTCACACTCACTGGCCACCATGATGGTCTTGGAATTGCCTCCTAGACTATCTTTCAGCAGCCAGGTCAGCACAGAGTCCCGATAGGGGATGTATGACTGCTTTCGAGGGACTCCACCAATACTGCCAGCCACCAAGGGAGAGCTGAGGCTCCCACTGTCTCCACCCTCACTGGATGTGCTGTTCGGGCTCTGGTAACCGATGAACACCTGAGAGTTTTGTGCTTAAAAAAAAAAAAAGAAAGAAAGAAAGAAAGAAAAAGAAAATTAAAAGCCGATCACATCTTGTAAATAAGGTTCCTAAAGAATTCAAAAAGAAGCATTTCATTTCTTAGCCTTCTCAAGGACTTTTTGACTCCTGGCCTGCAGGAAGCGAGTTGTATTAATTATTTGCATAATTCCTCTAACAATAAAAATATAGTGCTGTGGAGATGTCCTCAACTGTAATCCAGTGTATTACGAGTGTCAAAATGAATGAACAATTTTTTTACATCTGAAACCAATAAGCATTAAATGCCTACACTGTGCCAGGCACCAGTGATACATAGGCAAAAACTGGAACAGGCCCTGTCCTCAAGAGGCTTACATTCCATGAGGAAAAACAACATGTACACAGATAAGAGGAATACAAAAGTAATTTGGGGAGCTGAGGGAGGGCAAGGAAAGAACTAAGAGCTGAGGGAATCAGGAAAAATCTCTTGCTGGAGGTGAGACTTGGGCTGAGCCCTGAAGAAAGCCAGAGATTCCAAGAGGCCAAAATGAAGGAGAGAATTCCAGGTGTCAAGTGGACCTGCTTGGCTGGGATAGAGAGACTGTTTGGTTTACCCATCTTTGGAAAATAACACCTAAAAATGAGGCTTTCTTCTAATCAATAGCTATTTCCGTTGTCCTCATCTTCACGGAAGAGTGACAGAAAGAATTGCCGGGGATTCTCAGAAGGCTTCCTCTTCCCCCACTTAGTGATCCAGGCCTTCAGAACATTACCTAAGGTGGAGATGACAATGCCCAGAGTCACGAGGGATTTGTTGATGCTGGCACCTTCAGTGATCCGGTCCTTACAATAGGTGGGGTCCGCCCTTTCACTGAAACATAAGCCAGAAAGAACCCAAGATTAGGAATGGATATCTCAATTATTCCCAACTCCTGAATGCCTCATAAAGTCTCTCTTGGGTACAATGGAAGAGGGGTAGATTTGGAACCGAGACCCTGGGTTCAAATGCCATCTCTGTTATCTACTACCAGTGTGACCTGGGACAAGTCATTTAATTTCTCTATGCTTCAGAATCCTCATTTGCAAAATGGGCAGGGTTGGACAAGAGGATTCATGAGGTCCCATGATCCCAAAGAGAAGTCCTGGTTGCATGCTTTATTAAGCGGTTTTAAAATAAGAACTTTTGCCTCATTTAATCTTCTACTAGTCAGGGGGCACCCACCACTCAAGATTTTTTTTGTCTTTCTGTAGCCAATGAGGGCCCTCAAATTGGAATAGCAGATGATCAATAAGTTCATCAATAAGCATTTTTTAAATAAGTACCCTGTGTGAGGAACTAGGAATACAAAAGGGAAAAAAAAAATGAAACCATTCTTGGTGTCCAGGAACTCAATAGGATTCCTTACCAATATACCAAAGACAGGGTTAATGCCTCCCCACCCCCCCAAAAAAACTATAAATTGCTTTCCCTTCTGGCCAGTTCCATAGCAGAGATGGAAGGTTTGGTAACCCTGCGACTTCCATCCATCCAGATGGAATCTCAGCAACAACTTAAGTTTCCAAATGATTTGTTTCCTTTATACTTTACTCAGATGTCTGCAAGGTATATCAGGCTAAAATCTCTGCCAAAGCTAGAAGGCAATTTAATGGAAATGTGAGCATGGTAGCTGCCTCAGACAGTTCCCACCAGAAAGTGAACCCTGGGACCCCCACAGGGGAACCATGATTACCTGCCTGCCAGATCCACCAGGTTGATTTTGCTGGCAATTTCAGAAGACAGGTTGTTCTCCAGGACAGCCTAAAGGAGGAAACATATTTAAATGTCATCAGGTAGAAATGTATTGAAGCAGCCAGGTAGCTCAGTGACAGAACTGGGTCTGGAGTCACGAAGACCTGAGTTCAAATCTGACCTCAGACACTTACCAGCTGTGTGACCCTGAGTAAGTTACCTAACCTGTTTGCCTTGATCCACTGGAGAAGAAAATAGGAAACCACTCCAGTATCTTTGCCAAGAAAACCCCAAGGACAGTATTAGTGTCCATGGGGTCATAAAGAGTCAGACACCACTGAATGACTGAACAACAACAAGAGAAATGAATTAGGTTTCAGGGCAGCTTTTCAGTTTTACCATGGTTTGTTTTAGTCAGCTGCATGGTGTAGAAGAAGGAATGTAAGATTTGCTCAACAGCGAGCTTTCCTGATAAAGGTGTCTTTACCAAGATATGTAAGGGACTGATTCAGATTATGAAAATAAGAGACATTCACCCATTTGATAATGGACAAAGGATATGAACAGGCAGCTCTCAATGGAAGAAATTCAAGCTATCAACAACTACATAAAAAATCATTAATATCAGAGAAAAGCAAATAAAAGCAACTGAGGTTGTAATACTCGTCAGATTGGAAAAGCTTAATATCTTTACACCACCAGGCTCTCCTTCAAGGATGCCTGGTTTGCTGTACACATGTCTGGGTCATTATCAGTAATGTTGCAGGTAGACTCAATGAGCACTTCTTTTTTGGGGGGGGCAATTGGGGTTAAGTGACTTGCCCAGGGTCACACAGCTAGTAAGTGTCAAGTGTTTGGTCTGAGGCCGGATTTGAACTCATGTCCTCCTGACTTCAGGGCCGGCGCTCTTTCCACTGTGCCACCTAGCTGCCCCTTAAAATTTACTTTATTTTATTTTATTTTTATTTTTTTGATACTTTTTTTGGGGGGGTGAGGCAATTGGGGTTAAGTAACTTGCCCAGAGTTACACAGGTAGTAAGTGTTATGTGTCTGAGGCCAGATTTGAACTCAGGTCCTTCTTTGTCCAGAGTTCATGCTCTACCCACTTACGCCACCTAGCTGCCCCTTCATGTTCATCTTTTTTTTTTTTTTTTTTGCTAGGCAATGGGGTTAAGTGACTTGCCCAGGGTCACACAGCTAGTAAGTGTCAAGTGCCTGAGGTTGGATTTGAACTCTGGTCCTTCTGACTCCAGGGTGGGTGCTCTATCCATTGCGCCACCTAGCTGCCCCCCATGAGCACTTCTTAATTAAGGAAGGAAACAGTTGATGCTAGGTCCCATTATCATACTTTCAACCAATCATGTTCTTCTCTGTACTTCAGATCTATGACCAATCATACTGTTCCCTGTGACTCAGTTATGCCATGATGTCACCTATCCTGTTTTGTACTCTCTTAGACCCTATAAAAGAAAACTATCCCCCTCATTTGGGGTCTCAGCTCACTGAGGAAACTGGGATCCTATTTATAGGTAGATTTGCAGTTTAACAATAAATTGATCGTGTCTGGAACTTTTGTGCCTCAGTTCACCTAATTTGAACTGTTACAAAGGTTTACAAAGTGCCTTACGCATATTAACATACACATATTATTATCTTCATTTTGATGAAGAAGCTGAGGAAGGCAGAGGTTAAGTGACTTGCCCAGGGTCCTAGAGCCTAATAAGTGTCTGAGGCAGGACTGAACTCAGGTCTTCTTGACTCCAAATCCACTACTCAATCTACCCACTGCTTCAACTTAGCAGCCAGAAAATACTGACTTTTTGTGGTGGCAAAGAACTATAAACTTAGAGGGTATTCATCAGTTGGGGAATGGCTGAAAAAATAATGGTATACAAGTATAATGGAATACTACTGTGACATGAGAAATGGCAAAGAGGACAGTTTCAGAGAAACCTGGGAAGACTTATATGAACTGATGCTGAGGGAGGTGATCAGAACCAGGAGATCAACTTGGAATATAACAACCTTCTAAAAATGAACAATTTTTAACAACTTAAGAACTCTGATCAATGCAATAATTAGCCATAATTCCAAATGACAGATGATAAATAATTCTACTCAGTTGCTGACAGAGAGGTGATTAACTAAATATGTAGAATGAGACATATGGTTTTGGCCAGGGCCAATTTAGGAATTTCTTTTGCTTGACTATGAATATTTATTACAAAGGTTTGGTTTCCTTTTTTTTTTTTCTTTCGTGGGATTTAGAAGAGGTGGAAGAGATAGAAAGTAAATATTGGATAATTTTTTAAATTGTAAAAATGAGTGCTGTATTTCACTAGGGCAGCAAGGTGCAGGTAATACAGCACTGGGCCTGGAGTCAGGAAGGCTTCATGACCCCATTTAGGGTTTTCTTGGCAAATATGCTAGAATGGTTTGCCATTTCTTCCTCCAGCTCATTTTACAGATGAGGAACTGAGGCAAACAGGGGTTAAGTGACATGCCCAGAGTCACACAGCTAGTTAAGTGTCTGAGACCAGATTTGAATTCAGGAAGATGAATCTTCCTGATTCCAAACCCCGAGGTCTATCTAAACAACTGCTGGTAGAGGGCATGGAGCAAGAATCCCTTTTCTACTGTCTGCCTTTATTCATTGAATTTGAGTTCTCTGAGGGTGAGGATCCTTCTTTTATTTGGTCAATAGAGCACCCCCGAGGGCCACCTCCAGGCATCCTGATCCATATCTGGCCACTGGACCCAGATGGCTCTGGAGGAGAAAGTTTGCGTAGCCCTCCCTCACTTAAATCCAATTCACTTGAATGTCATGGCATCACCCTGATGTCTTAGTCCTCTTCCAGAACAAAGGGCAAGCAACAACCCCAGTGAGTAGTGGTAGGAGTTGCCCCACTGGGGACCCAACTGGAACTGACCAGTTTGCTCTTTTTCTTTCTTTCTTTCTTTTCTTTCCTTTTCTCTTCCCTTCCCTCTGTACAGATAGGTTATCAAACCCTTACCTGTGAGTGCTCAGCCCAAAGGAATATAAATTTTGATCACTGAAACCTTGCAAGATATCTTGAGGTTTATGGGCAAGATTTCTTTCTTAAGGACCATGCCTAAACCCAAATCACTTCAGCTCTCTTTAATTGGCCAACAATAGGTCCCAGGCCAAGCCCCACTTGGGTCATTATTTGGGCCTTGATTGGCTCAGGGTGAATGTAAATAGCAATTGGCTTTGTTTTGGCCAGAAACCCTGAGGGTCTTCCCCTCCCAGATTGGTTTTCCTTTTTTTTTTTTTTTTTTAAAACTAGATAAAAGAGGTCATTCTCTGCCTCATTTGTTACCTGGCCTTAATCACTGATTGGGTGTATGTAGCCTGAGTCAAACTGAGACCTGTTAAAGACCTTAGCTTAAAAAGGCCAAAGTCTCCCACAGCATCTAGGGCCATCTCCAGTCGTCCTTATTTATATCTTGCCACTGCACCCAGATGGCTCTGGAAGAGAAAGTGAGGCTGGTGACTTTGCACAGCCCTCCCTCACTTAAATCCAATTCATTTGCATGTCATGGCATCACCTCCCTGATGTTCTGGTCCTCTTTGAGAAGGAAGGACAAACAACATCTTCACCTGCTATGAGCGTAGGGTTCCTAAAAAGTTGGGGAGCTTTTCTTTCTAAATTTTTATTATCTCTCCCTAAAATGTAAAATGAATATGAAAGTGCTCTGAAAAATAAAAGGTATTCTGTAAATGAACTGGTATTATCAAAATAGTAACAACAATAAGTATGAACATTTATCAATACAACCCCTTAAGGTTTGCAAAGCACTTTACAAACATATCATTTTGTCCTCACGAAAGCCCTGGGAGATAGATGCTATTATAATCCCCATTTTATAGAAGGAGAAATTGAGGCAGACAGAGGTCAAATCACTCGCCCAAGGTCACACAGGTAATAAGCATATGAGTGAGGATTTGAACTCAGATCTTCCTGACTCCAGATTTAACGCTTTAGCCACTATACCACCTAGCTACACCCTTTGCATGCATGTAGCTTGTTTAGAATGTTTACAAGTTATCTATCTACTTTATAAAAACAAGTTAATACATGAGAAAGGAGGAGGAAAGACAAAGAAGGGAAATGAGATGGATGAATGTAAGGGAAAGAAAAGTCACTCAGACTTAAGAAAAAATAACTAACCTGTGTATAGTAGATGGTGAATATGACATGGGATCTGCTGCTGGCTTCATGAACATGGGTAGCTGCTGTGATTCTGTGTATACGAGGGAAGACAATAGGACAATGACAATGCACCTATGCTGAAACCTTTTCAAAGCTGGAGGAAGCACATGAAATGTTACAGCTAAGACCGAAATATGAGAATACCAAAGGTTCTGGACTTTGGTATAGAATCATAAGGGAAGAAGCCCTAAAACAGTCAGGCTTCTACTTTTATGATGCTACACTGAAGCAAGATGGTGGCCAAGTTGATTATCCAAAGTTCTTGATTCTAGCTTCCATGGTATGTTCTAATTTGTCTTCTCTGTCTTTAAAATTTCTAGCAAGGCCTCAGCTAAGGTGGCTATAATCTCAGCATCGTGGCCCAACCTTAAGCTAAGGGTAAGAACATTCTGGAAAGTGATGGGAACAAAATTTCCCAATACAATTCTAGAAAAGGAACAAATAAGAAGACAGAACTTGTTGGACATTTCAAAGACAGAGATGACAAATTAGAATATATCACAGAAGCTAGAACAGAGAAAGAACTTTGGAAAATCAACTAAACCACCATCTTGCTTTCAAGCTATGGGAGGGTAAGGCCAAGCCCAGGACTCACTGTTCAACAGAATTACATTTTGATACGGTGGGAAAAGCCCCTGATTTGGCTTCAAAGGACCTGGGTTTGAATCTTGGCTCCACTCGTTATATAATCTTGGCCCCACTAGTTATATAATCTTGGCCACATTGTATTTCTCGTCTGGACCTCATTCTTCTCTTATGTCAAATGATGAGGTTTGTTTTAATGATCTTATATAAGATCCTTTCCAGTTCTAAATTCTATTATTCTAAAATTAACTCCAGTTTCAGAAGCAACAACGAGGGTCTTTAAACCAAGATCATCAACCCTAACAACAGATCTGTGCTCACAAGGGGCAGAAAAGCTGAGACCAAGCAGTGACGGCGATGCCAAAGAAAACCATTACCTGTTTGCTACACCTTCTTCCAAGAGACTAATTATCTGCTTAGAGTTGGTAACCACATGCTGAGATAAACCTGTCCAATTTACAAAAGGAGGAAGAAAAGGGAAATAGTATTATTTTTTAAAGTCCAACTTAACTCCATCCCTTGGTAGACAAGAGCAGCTGAGCTCACATTCAATCACTCCTTTGTTCATTTATTTGACAAGTATTTATAAGTGCCTACAATGTATCCACCAACACTGTGCTAAATGGCCTACAGAGAAGTAAACCAGCCCCAGTCCGTTAAGGAGCTTAGAGTCATGAAAGCATCAATCACAGCACAGGTAACAATACTAGATATTAAGTATATCATTAAGTATCAAATGAGTTGCTGTTGTTTGTCCTTCCTTCTCAAAGAGGACCATGACACCAGGTAGATGATGCCATGATTACACGTAAGTGAATTGGATTTAAGTGAGGAGGGCTGGGCAAAGGCACCAGCCTCACTTTCTCCTCCAGAGCCATCTGGATGCAGTGGCAAGATATGGATCACGATGACTAGAGATGGCCCTGGATGCAGTGTGGGGGGACCTTGGCCTTTTTAAGCTAAGGTCTCTCCCAGGTCTCAGTTTGACTGAGGCAATGCCCAATCAGTGATTAAAGCTAGGTAAGAAAGAAGGCCCAGAATGACCTTCTAGTTAAAAAAACAAACCAAAGAAAAAAAAATACAAAACCCTACCTAGTTTTAAAAAAAAAAAATCTGGGAGAGGAAGACTTCTAGGTTTCTGGCCAAAATAAAAATAATTGCTATTTACATTCATTCTGAGCCAATCAGGGCCCAAACAATGACCAAGTAGGGCTTGGACTGGGACCTACTGTTGGCCAATCACTGAGAGCCAGAGTGATTTGGGTTTAAGGCGGTCCTCAAGAAAGAAATCTAGCCTATAAACCCCAAAATATCTTGTGAGGTGTCAGCCATCAAAATTTACATTTTTTGGGGCAGAACACCCACAGGTAAGAAAGGGTATGATACCCTCTGTGGACAGAGAGAAGAAAAGAGGAAAGGATGAGAGGGGAAGGGGAGGGAAGAGAGGGAGGAGAGGAATGAACCTGACAGATTCCAGAGATGAATCAGGATTTCTCTAGTTCATTCAGAATCAGGGCTCTTACACTGGTCATTGTGGGGAATAAATCCTCAGGCTGGGAAGGTCTGCAAACATGCAGGGCTTATGTTTGTCTCTCCCTCAAGGTCTCAGCTGGTATGAGTTCCCACCATCTCACAGTCTTAAAACTAGAGCTACCAACACAGAGACCAAACTGTTAACTGGTTTAAATAATAAGATCATTGATTGATTGATTGATTGGTTGGTTGATTTTGGCAGGCTGGGTTAACTGACTTGTCCAGGGTCACATAGTTACTAAGTGTCAGGTGTTTGAGGCCATATTTGACCTCAGGTTCTCCTGACTCCAGGGCTAGTGCTCTATCCATTGCACCACCTAGCTGCTCCAAAAACTTTTTGTTGTTGTTGTTGTTGTTTTGGTGAAAGCAATCAGGGTTCAGTGACTTGCCCAGGGTCACATAGTTACTAAGTGTCAGGTGTCTGAGACCAGATTCGAACTCAGGTCCTCTTGACTCCAAGGCCGAAGTTCTATCTACTACACCACCTAGCTGCCCTCATTTCTCTCTTTCTTGAAAACAGAACAATGTACTCAACAACCCTAAAATAAAACTTGTGAAATCTCACCCCACCAAAACTTGGAGTAACTTGTTACATGACCAAATGAAATAAATAAGAAAAATCTATCCTATTAATTCTTGTACCTAATCCTACATTCCATTGCATTTGTCATTAAATTATTTCAAACAAATGTGAAAATTTTCATTTCCCCCAACTACACCACAAATTTTTTGAGGGTAAGAATATTATTTTATTCTTGTTTTTTCTGCATCCTAAGGTTACCCATAGGTGCTCAGTAAGTGCTTGTTAAACTAAAATGAATTAATTTCAAATAAGAAACAACACGGCTCTAGAGATTGGAAACAAACATAGAGTTTACGAAAACAAAAGCCACCAGGGGACAGCATTACAAATAACAGTAATAGAATGCTAGTTCAATACTTTTCACAGGTTCATATTCACCTGAATAAACCCTGTATTACCAATAACAGTAATAGAATGCTAGTTCAATACTCTTCACAGGTTCATATTCACCTGAATGAACCCTCTTATTACCTAGTGAATTCATAATCCCACCCTACCTCCACATTCCTTTGCTTACACCATTTCTATGACCTGGAATGACTCCTCCCTGCCCCCTCTCCTGCCACCTGCCATGATTTCCCCCAATCTGAATCCATTCATCCTATAAGGCTTTATTCAAGAAGCCCTCCACCATCCCAATCCAGGATGGTTCCACCACTTCTGATTTCACAGATCACTTGTTGTCTGGGCCACCCATTTGACATTTATGATCATATATGGTTATCTTATCCTTTCATGTGAATATTCCTTACTGCCCTAACTGGATTGTAATCTCTGTGAGGGAAGGGACTGCGCCTTCTTTTTCATATCTACTCAATCTACTCTTCTAAGGCCCTACTCACAACTCTTGTAGAAAGAGCCCTTTCTTGGCCACCATTTCCCTGTGTGTTGTCTCTTCTAATAGAATGGAAGCATCTTTAGGGCAGGCACTGTCCTTCCTTTTCTATTTATCCTATATGTACTGATCCGACCATGTTGTTTCCCCCATTAAGGAATAAGCTCCTTGAGGTCAGAGATGTTTTCTTTGTATCTCTAAAGCTTAGCACAAGTTAGTGGCACACAGTAAGCACTTATAAACAGTACTGATGGTTGACTGATTGATTGTATTTGTACCCCCAGTGTTTAGCACAATGCTTGGCACACAATATTTAATAAATGATTTTTCATTCATTCATCTATTCATTCATTTATTCATTCATTCCCTGCATCCCCTAAAGTTCCTAGAGTAAATGCCTTTCACACAACAAATATTTTTTGATTAGGTGACTGCTCTTTTCACTTTCAAAATACTTTTCTTGCAGAGGGCCAAAATTTGCTCAGGAAAGGGTGCAGAACTGCTTATAATATACTGGAACCAATCTATGCGTTATCCAAAAAAGAAGCAGCAGCCTGTGACAGAGATATTTATGGGGAGTTTAAAAAAGGAATGGGTGTATTCTCACATAGTTTTGTATAGGGAACCCAAAATAATGTCCAGGAAAAAAAAAAACAATGAATAGCAATGGTTACATTCCCAAATTTCCATTTATTTCAACCTAGCACATGGGAATGAAAAACTGGAAAAACATTATTGCCGAGGCTTCCACCACTGACCTTTGTTGTTCAATCACTGAGCTAAGGACAGACCTTGTGTGCATGGTCAATTTAATGGGATCAGTAAATGCCATGATCTAGTCAGATGAGCAAGTGCTGACCTCACCAAGAGTCTAGCATTTGGCCACTATGGTGATTAAACCACGCTCCTGTCATCCATCTCAGCTCACCAAATAGATTAAACTGAAGAGGTATTTCTCCAGTCTATCCTCAAAGGCTGGCTACTATAAGCCCGTATGTATCTGTGTTGAAAGGCCCCAAGTACCCAACTCATCAATGGCTTCTCCCTAGGGGCCTAAGGATGTTCACTTTCTTCCCCAGATGGAGGAAAATAAGGAAGCCCAGGCCTCCCTGGTGGGTAACCAGACCTAGCCCAATAAGAGCTGATAGTCTGCAAAGCATTACACAAATACCCTTGAAAATACACCTCTTCTACTCCCCAACTTCTGAAACTGATAGTGAGTGATGGGCAGTCAAATGTCAGGCTACTGTCCAGTTTTCATTTTGGTCTCAGATCTCAGGGCTTATGGGGTTTATTCTGGATTTCGGTTCCACCCTCTCCTTCCCAGATCTTTCTGTCCCAGGTCCAGGCTACAGATTTGGAGATGGGCATTAACAGCAGTCTTACCTTGTACATAAGGGCCTGTCTCTGGGTGTTCCCTGACCCGCAGGGTGTAGGGCTTTTTCTGATCTGACTGTTTCAGCAGATCCCGCACCCTCTCATTGTAGATTTCTAGGAAACTGGAGGAAAAAAGGAAAAACATGGCAGTGTTAATTCTTGGTCTAGCAGGAAAAGAGATGGGCTAAGGATCAGCAGGCTTTGAATCAAGATCCAATTCTGCCTCTGAACATGACTATATGACTTTGGAGAAATGAGCTCCTAATCTTATCTGTAAAATGGGTTCAACCTGAAATGTGAAAATAACAGACAAAGTCAGGAGACATGGATTTAAGTCCTGGCTGTGTGATAAAGGGCATCTGTTTAACTTTTGAGGCCCTCAGTTCTCTCAACAATAAAATGAAAAGATTGCCCCAAATCAGGGATTCTTAATTAGATTTCAGGGGATCCACAAATTTGGATGGGAAAAATTACATCTTTATTTTCACTAACCTTTTAACTGAAATTTAGCATTTCCTTCTACTGTGATTTAAAAAAAAAAAAACATTATTTTGAGAAGGGGTCCATAGGCTTCACTAGACTGCTGGGGGGGGGGGGGGGGGGCGAGGTTTGTGACACAAATGAAGGTGATTTGTTTATCTTTTGGAGACTAGGTTTCCCAAGCTCATGGGAACTCTGACCTTTTCCAACTGGTCTGGACCAGTTTACTTCTCCTTAGGCAGCCCCCACCCACCGAAAGCATTCCCAAAGCTCTCAGTAGCTCACTAGAATTAGTGAGGACACCTGATTAACTTTAGCCCCACTGCAGTCAACAAGCATTTAATAAGCACCAACTACATGCCAGGCACAAGGTAAATGACAGTCCTTGCTCTCAAGGAGTTTATAGTCTACTGCAGTTAAGAACTCTGAGCTCAAGGGATTCACCAGCCTCAGTCTCTCCAATAGCAGGGTTAACCAAGTACGTGCCCTTATGCCCAGCTACCAAAAAGAAGACAGAGAACCTATGGACTAGATAATACAAAGAACTCTTCCAGCTCCATCATTCTGTGGTTCTAAACATCAAAGGAGATAATATAAGTCAAGTGCTTTGTAACCCTAAGGATTCTAGCAATGTAAACAGAATTTTAAAAAGAGTTTATGACATTTGCTGTTGTTACTTTACAGGATTTTTATTAGAACAGAGACTGAAATTCAGCACTCTGGAGGCAATTTAAACTCAAAAGGACTGTGCGCCATAGCTATCACATGATATGTTCTGCCCATGAAGTCCAAAAGACAGGCAGAAGTGTAGAAAGAGCTGGAAACAACCTTGGGGATCATGTAATCTAGCTCCCCGCTTTACAGGGCTAGGAGGGGCAAAGAGTCTTGCCCTAGGTCCTTCAATTAGTAGCAAAGCTAAAAGTAGGACCCAGGTGTCCTGATTCCAGCTCCAATACTTCTCCATTGCTTGAGAACATCTGTCATGGGGTCAGACAAGAAATGTTGCTATTAATTAAAATGGCCAAACACAATATTAAAAAAAAATTACACAGCAAGGTGGTTTTTTGTTTGTTTTTAAGCCAATTGGGGTTAAGTGACTTGCGCAAGGTCACATAGCTAATAAGTGTCAAGTGTTTGGTCTGAGGCTGGATTTAAACTCAGGTCCTCCTGACTTCAGGGCCAGTGCTCTATCCACTGCGCCACCTAGCTGCCCACCCCATTTTTTAACAGATATGATTTTATTTCATTATTTTATTTATTTATTTATTTATTGTGGTGAGGCAATCGGGGTTAAGTGACTTGCCCAGGTTCACACAGCTAGTGAGTTTCAAAGATCAGAGGCCAGATTTGAACTCAGGTCCTCCTGACTCCAAGGACAGAGCTCTATGCACTGCGCCATCCACAGCAAGATTTTAAATGAATGTATTATCTCCTTCGTGCTAAGAGTCAAAAACCTAGACTTGCAGAGTAATGGTAAATGTGGTAGAGAACATGGGTAGTAACAGTGGCTGGAGAGAGAAAAAAGAAAGAGGTTTTCGAAAAGAACGTGAGAAAGGACAAAGAACTTTCTTCTTCTTCTTCTTCCCTAAAAGATCTTCCTTAGGTGGGGAGGGAGGGAAGAAGGAGAGGGTGAGGGAAAGGGAACGGGAGAAAAAGAGAGAGAGAGAGAGAGAGAGAAAGAATGAGAATCACAGCTAACAGTCGTAAGTCACAGCTATAGAGGGGGCTAGTGCAGAGCAATGGAAAGATAGCTGGGTTTTCAATCAAAGGATTAGGTTTCGAATCCTAGGTTCTGCCACTTACTTATCCTGTGACCTTGAGCAAGTCCCTCATACTCTGGGCACCCGTAAAATGAGGGGGTTCGCACTAGATGACCTCTGAGATCCCATTCCAGTTTTCCATCAATGACCCTACTTTGCTGTAAGTCTCAGCCGTCATAAACCCAGACGTTCTGACGATTAATCAAGAAAATGACAGAAAAGAGATGAGAGATTTTCTCTTTGAAGTTAGGAATGAAGAAATAGGGAAGTACGAGGAATCATAAGGTGCCACAGTGGGTAGAGCCCTGTGGCTGAAATCAGTAAGACATCTTCCCAAGTTCAAACTGGTCTCAAACACTTACTAGCTGTGTGACCCTGGGCAAGTCATTTAACCCTGTTTGCCTCAGTTTCCTCATCTGTGAAACGATCTGGAGAAGGAAATGGCAAGTCACTCCAGCATCTTTGCCAAGAAAACCCCAAATGGGGTCATGGAGAGTTGGACGTGACCGAAACGACTGAACAACAGGAATCATAAAGTTATGATCAGAATGGTACCTACTGGTTTAAAGAAAATGACACTAATTTAAAGAAATAGTTTTATGGAACAAAAAAACCTATTTTTCTGTAATATATGTTATATATACACATTTCTATATACATACTATATACATATATTGTTATTTATCCATACATGTGTATATAATATGTATAAATGTGGATTAGATGGGTATATATATGCATACATATATACACCTACCATGTAAAGCTCTATTGTGAGGAAATCATTCTGTAATTTTAAAGCATTGCGTCCATGAGATGTGCTGTTATTATTGGGATGCCATGCTGGCCAGGGATATTTGTTGCTATGGCGTTAGCAGTTCAAAAGCTGAATCACATTCACACCTTTCCTCATCAGTTCTCTCTCACCTTTTCACACTGTAATACAAGGTTTCTGGCTGCCTCCCAGAGAGCAAATCTGGAGGGCCAGCCCTGAAGAGAAAGATCAAGAGTGAACACACGATCACATGAAGGGTAAAACAAAGATAAACCACACGGGCTGGATTGGTCCACAGGAGACCTGCTCACTAATATCACCTGCAGAGGGATGAGGAAGGAGTTATAAGTGTTATGTAGCCTTGAGCTTATGAGAGACCGGAAACAAGAGAGGACTGCTGCGGGTCCCTGCATCTTGAGATAGAACAGAAATGGAGGCTGTAGGCCTCAAAATTTGACCGGTTCCTACCTTACTCTTATTCTGCAGGATGAAGGCAAGTTGGAATAGTCATCCTCTTTTGAGAATAGGCCCTGTACAAACCAGAAGATTAGTGTTCCCCTTGTGATTTCAACATAAAGGATTATAAAATTAGGCCTACTTTGACAAAGGGTCCAGATTGAGAAGAGATTTCTATACCTCACATATCCGTGGTGTTAGCCCTAAGGAGGCCTGGGGAGAAGAAGGAGAAAAAAACAATTACTTTGTGTTGAGACCACACAGATCTCCACTCTGCCCAACCTCCCAGAAATAGCTCTAAGTATGGAAAGAACAGGTATGGGGCCTCCCTCCTTGCTATTGCCTTCTTTTCAACTTATTCACAGTAGAGAAGACCTCAACCCTTCATATACCCCAGCAAAGACCCAAGATAAGACTCTAGGTGAGGGGCAGGTACTTAACATAGCAAAGACTAAGAGGAAATCCCAAATTCCTACTGTTATATAATAATAATGATAATAGCTAGCATTATATAATGCTTTAAGGTTTACTAGGTACTTTACGTATCTTATTTGATTCTCACAATTCTGTGAAGTAGGTACTATTATTATCCCCATTTTATAGTTGAGGAAACTGAGGCTGACAGAGGTTAAGTGACGTGCCCAGTGTCACACAGCTAGGAAGTGTCTAAGGCAAGATCTGAACTCATGTCTTGGTGATTCCAGGTCCGATGCTCTACCCACTGCACCATCGAGCTGCCTCAACAGAGAAAACAGCCCATCCTGCTCTGCTCCTCCCTTAATTTTGTCTTTACTTTCTGGTATGATGGATTACTAGAGTAGGAAGAGGAGAAAAATTACCCAGTTGGGTCCAATACTGAAAGGATCTTTTTTTCATCTTGGATTCAGGCCTCCTGGTATCCCAGGTGGGGGCCTCCTTAACCTCCTGGTTTATTGAATCTTTTTTCCCCCTCTTTTCACTTAAAATAAGCACAGTGGAAAGAACTCTAAGTTGAGAGTCTACAGAGAAGGGTTTAAGTTCCTTCTCTGGGTTTTGTCTTGCTTTTGTATTTTGTAACCTTAGCGCTTAGCATAGTATCTGGCACAAAGCAGGTACCTGATAAATGTTTATTAGTTGATTGTTTCAATAGTTTCAGAAAACAGACACAGTGATTACATCATATATGACCTTGAGTAAGTCATATAACCTCTAGGCCTCAATTTCCTCATCTCTAAAATGTGGTAGGTTGGACTAGAGATTTCTAACGTCCCTTCCGGCTCAAATATCATATGATTCCACATAAGGAAAAAAAATCGCTCATGAGCCAAGTGAGCATGAAGACAGGCTAAGGTAAGAACAATGTCCTAGAAAGAGGGTCCTGATGAAGAATGTTCCTAGGTAATGTCTACCTCACATTGAAACCATTCTGATGGAAAATGAAGGTAATTTCACTGTATATTCCTATCCAGGACCCTTATCTTTCCTTCCTGACCTTTTAGGCACTTTCTTAAAAGAAAAGGGCAGTTAGGTGGTGCAGTGCATAAAGCATTGGGCCTCAGAAAGACCTCAGTTCAAATATGGCCTCAGATACTTACTAGCTGTGTGACCCTGAGCAACTCACTTAACCCTGTGTGCCTCAGTTTACTCATCTGTAAAATGAGTTAAAGAAGGAAATGGCAAACCATTTCAGTATCTTCGCCAAGAAAATCCCAAATGGGGTCACCAAGAGTTGGACATGACTCAACAACAAAAAAAAATATTCCTAAAACCTGTGACAGAGGGATATTCTTTTTTTCTCCATTTTTAAAACATCTTTAAAGTTCTGAGTTCCAAATTCTATATGTCCTTCTCTTCCTCGCCTCCCCCCTCCCTGAGACAGTAAGCAATCAGATATAGGTTATACATGTGCAATTATGTAAAACATTTCCATATTAGTCATTTTGTACAAGAAGACTTGAATAAAAGAAAAAAAATGAAAGAAAGTGAAAAATAGCATATTTCAGTCACTATTCAATCAATATCAGTTCTTTCTCTGGAGGCAGATAGTATGTTTCATCATTAGTCCTTTGGGACTGTCTTGGATCATTGTATTGCCGAGAATAGCTAAGTCATTCATAGTTCTTCATCAAACAATATTGCTGGTACTGTGTACAATGTTCTCCTGGTTCTGTTCACTTTGATATGTATCAATTCATGTAAATCTTTCCAGGTTTTTCTGAAATCATCCTGCTTGTCATTTTTTGTAGCACAATAATATTCCATTACAATCATATACCACAGCTTATTTAGCCACATTCCCCAATTGGTGGACATCCCTTTGATTTCCAATTCTTAGCCACCACAAAAAGAGCTGCTATAAATATTTTTGTACAAATAGGTGTCTCTTTTTTTGGATGTCTTTGGGATACAGACCTAGCAGTGGTATTGCTGGATCAAAAGGTACACACAATTTCATAGCCCGTTGGGCATAGTTTCAAATTGCTCTCCAGAATAGCTGGATCAGTTCACAACTCTACTAACAGTGCATTAGTGTCCCAGTTTTCCAACATCCCCTCCAGTACCCAACATTTCCCTTTTTTGTCATATTAGCCACTCTGATAGGTGTGAGGTGGCGCCTCAGAGTTGTTTTAATTTGTATTTCTCTGATCAATAGTGATTTAGAGAATTTTTCATATCACTATAGATAGCTTTGATTTCTTTGAAAACTGCCTGTTTGTATCCTTTGCCCATTTATCAATTGGAGAAGGACTTCTATTTTTATAAAATTGACTCAGTTCTCTATATATTTACGAAATGAGGCCTTTATCAGAGATACTTTTTGCAAATTTTTCCAGTTTTCTGCTTTCCTTATAATTTTGGTTGCATTGATTTTGTTTGTGCAAAAAAATTTAATTTTATACAATCAAAGTTATCTATTTTATATTTTGTAATGCTTGCAGAGAGACATTTTTAAGGGCCCCACCTATTTGTTTTACTTAACTAATGAGGGCTGGCCTAGAGCTAAATCCTTAAACTTTACCTACTGTACACCCCCCCCCAAAAAAAACTCCACAGACCTCTCATACATACAGCTTAGAACTTTGACCACTCTAACCTTTGACCCTGGGCATTGCCTAGGCTAACACCAAGGATATTGCTGGATTTTATCATAAAATCAAAACTGTATAGAGGTCTAGACCATCATGTGATAGGCTTAAATCACAACAGGAATTCAGGCTACCCAAACATATAGACTATCAAAGAAAGTTATAAAAGACTCCTGCATGTTATATGGTTCCTAAATCCAAGTCCTAGCTAAAATCTCATCTTTTATAGGAACCTTTCCCAATCTCCCTTAATGCTAGTTCCTTCCCTCAGTGATATCTCCAATCTAGCCCGAATAAATCCTGTTTGTGCAGCCTCGTGTGCACATTGTCTCATCCATTAGACTGTGAACTTCCTGACAGCAAGGACTGGGCTTTTTTCCCCTGATTTTCTTTGTATCCCCAGCACTTAGCTGGTATACTGTAGATGATTAATAAATGCTTTCCAACTTGACTAAAATTTTTATTGCACATTCTAAGCATTACAACTGACAAGTTGTCATCTGGTGACAAATACAGACTCCCGGCCATTCAATCTGAAAGGAAGGCATTTTGTGTACTATATAGTCGTGACATTATGTCTTTTATTCAATCCACAAACATGACTAATATCTGTGCTAGGTCTTAAGGGAAATAAAAAGTAGTCGATAATGCATGCCTCGCTCTGCCTACACTCCCCTCTCCGCCAGGAGTGGGGAGGTATGTTTGCCCATATAACTGTGGTACATAGCAAATCAAGGAAGGCATCACAACATAGGGGCCATCTGAGTTATATCTTAGTGGGTGGGTAAAAATTCATTAAGTGAAGTGGGGAGGGAGAACATGACAAAAACAGGATGGAAACAAAGGGACAGAGATAAGAGAGAGCACATAGTGTGCTTGGAGATCAGTGTGTTTGGAGACCACAGTGTGGTAAGTACATGGAGGGAAATCATGTGAGACAAGATTATAAAGGAGGAACAGCACAAATTGTGAGGAGGTCTTGAATGCCACATAAAGGAATTTGAAATTTTAAGACAGTTCTGATTGGCTTTTCAATTTGAGGCACTTTTGAAATGTTTGTTTTTTATAATGTGAACCTATATAGAATTCTTCATTGGATTCTAAAATAAAACCTCGCTCACAGAAAAAAAAAAGATATATATAGATAGATAGATAGATAGATACATATGTGTGTGTATACACGTGCACAGTGTTCTCAGCAACCAGTTAGCAAGCATTTATTAACTGCCTACTGTAGGTTCAGGAGCTACAAAGATATAAGTGAGATAATTCTGGCCCTCAAGCAAGTGAAATTCTTTGAGGGAAAACAATAATATACACCCAAATTATCTTTATTGAGTCTTCCTTTTTTCCCTCAGTGTAAATGCCCAGGGTAGTGTGTGTGTGTGTGTGTGTGTGTGTGTGTGTGTACACATGTTTAAATCATGAGTTGTCCCCAAATATCAATTCTTACTTCCTATGTACCTTAAAACCCTATTAAAAATTCACCTCCCCCAGGAAGATTAGCACAAAGACCAAGGTCACTCACTGGGGTCCCTATCATCGTGTATGTCTTTCCCGAGCCTGTCTGCCCATAAGCAAAGAGGCAAATGTTGTAGCCTTTGGCTGCTCCCGAGAGCACCTCCATCCCCAGATCCTGGAACACCTGCAACAGTAAAAGACAGAAAAATCCGTGAGTGACCACAATCCTTCCACTAGGGGGAGACATGGGGTTTTTTTTCAATTAATCTAGAATACCAAGAATGCCCATTTCACCAGAAATGCCATCTGAAAAAAAACAACTAAAGACGATCAAAATAAATTAGACGGGGATCACTTGGTGCTGGAGATATTCACATGAACATTCATACATACACACACACACACACATACACACACACACACACAGTGTACAAATTAATCTGTGCATACTTACATCCACGCTCTACCTGAGATACATATGTGAATAACCACGAACCTGACCTAGCAAAGCACTTTGCACAGGATAGGAGCAGAATAACTATTTGTTCATTTGATTTCTCACAGGCCTCAAAGTGCCAGAGAACCTAACTGGAACATTTTTAAAACCAATGACCCGAGAATGCCACAAAAATTAAAATGCACAAAGTAGGTACCCATCAATTAATTGGAGAGTGACATTAAAATTATGGAGTATGAATATAATGGAATATTGATTACTGCGTAGTAAGATGTGATGAATTAACAAGAATACAGAGAACCCTGGGAAGGTTTATATGAGATTATCCAGAACAAAGTAGACAGAATAAAGGGAGTCGTCCACAAGACCACAACAACATAAAGAGACGAAATACCAAAAGAAGTAATAATGTCCAATCTTGACTCCAGAAAAATTATGGTAAAACATACCTCCCCACCCTTGATAGACAGGTGATTAATAACAACAACAACAATAATAATAATGATAGCTAGCATTTATATAGCACTTTAAGGTTTCCAAAGTGCTTTACATCTTATTTCACTTGATCCTCACAACTCTCAGAGGTAGGTGCAATTATTATTTTTTTTTTTGGTTAAGCAATTTGGGTAAAGTGACTTACCCAGGGTCACACAGCTAGTAAGTGTCAAGTGTCTGGTCTGAGGTCGGATTTGAACTCGGGTCCTCCTGACTTTAGGGCCAGTGCTCTATCCACTGAGCCACCTAGCTGCCCCAGTAAGTGCTATTACTATTCCCATTTTAGAGATGAGGAAACTGAGGTTGACCTTCACCCCAGAGTCACACAGCTAGTAAGGGTCTGAGGTGAACTCAGGTCTTTCTGATTCCAAGTTCAACACTCTATCCACCCCACCCCCACCTAGCTACCTCAGTTAGGGGTGGTAAACCATAGGCAGAGTAAAGCATATACATCAGGCAAAGCAAAGGTTTTGCTTAGTTTTGCTGCTTTGTGAGGGGGTATGACGTAGGGGAGTGATCACTGGAGAATAATAATGATGAGAAACGGGGAAAAACTAATAAAATAAGATAAATAAGAAAAAAATTTTAAAAAGGTTAAAATTCTCAGAAAATGTTTTCCAAGAGGCTTGGAAAACAGGTTCTGCACCTGTTGCTAATACAATCCTTCACAGGCTAATCAGAGAAGGAAGCACACCGGAAATCTTTATTACACAAAACTTGTGCTATATATCCAGCTTCCTGGCTCAGCTCTGCAGGCCCATTGTTGCTGATACATCGGGCCTCAAGCACTGTCCATATCGTGGACTTCAGGAAAAATCAGGGCTAATAATTACCCAACACATTCCTTCCCTCTAATCCTCCTTCTCGATATCTGCCACGTTCTCATTCAAGTAACCAGGTCTCCCACCATCAAAGGGCAGAACACAGCGGGCCAGGCTACTCCAGGCTGCCTCCTTGTGGACCACCAAACCAAGTACCTGACTCTAGCTAAAAAAAAAAAAACCATATAGGAACTAAGAGTCTATTCTGTGCCGAGGGCTGGGATTCAAAGAGAAATACGAAATAGTCCTTGACCTCAAGAGAAGTAAGATGTTGCCCAGTAAAAAGTCCCAGGAACTTGGACTCAGGCAGTTTCATAAACATCTGCCCAGTGGCTCCTCTCTAACCATTCATTCTCGACTTAGACTGACTTTGACCGCCAAGGTCTTTTCTCCTGATTACTCACCAGGAGGTTCAGATTCAGTATTGCAAAATAGCTTTGGGTCATCAAAAACATCCAAGCTGGAGTGTTTTTATCCATAGAATCAAAGAATTTTAAAACCAGGCCAAACTGAAACTCCTCTACAAAAGCTGTGACTTGCCCACACAGTGAGTTCTTAGGATCCAAGGATATGCTGGTGAATGTTTAACTACTAGCTCTCTAAAGGGAAAAAAATGTAATCATGATACGATTCTAGGTTATTAACATTTTCTCCATCACTTTTTTAAATCTAGTCTATCAACAAGGCAATAAATGCAAGCCCTGATTTTTGTTGTTGAGTTGTTTTTCAGTTATATCTGACTTTTCGTGACCTCATTTGGGGTTTTCTTGACAAAGATACAGGAATGGTTTGCCATTTCCTTCTCCAGCTCATTTGATAGATGAGGAGACTGAAGCAAACAGGATTAAGTGACTTGCCCAGGGTCACACAGCTAGTAAATGGCTGAGGCTGAATTTAAACCCAGGAAGATGAGTCTTTCTGATTCCAAGCCCAGTGCTGCATCCACTGTCCCACTCAGCTGCCCTAGTGTTTGCCTATTTCCTAGGTGTAAATGCTCACACTGAAAATTTAACAGTGGGCTCTCCTGGGCCTGAAGGAGCTGGCTCTAGCACACCCCTGGCCAGCATCTTATTAACAAGGGAAAAGAATAGCCCAGTTCGTGGAGAAAGTTTGGCTTCCAGGTCAAACTGCCACTGTCTGGGGCAGCTAGATGGCACAGTGGATAGAGTTCTGGCTTTAGAGTCAGGAGGACCCAAGTTCAAATCTGGTCTCAGACACTTGACACTCACTAGCTGTGTGATCTTGGGCAAGTCACTTAACCCCGACTGCCTCACCAAAAACAAACAAGCAAAAAAAAAAAAAACTGCCACTGTCCTCAGCCAGGCAGCCAGCCAGATGGAGACCCTGTGTCAAGAGGAACTCACAAGTTTCCGTTTGGTTCTGCTTAGAGGAGGTAGAGAAGGTCAGTCCTTGGGGAGGGCTCTGTAGAAGAATGATGAGTCTGTTTGGTTCTGGCTAAGTTTGCAGAATATTCAGTTGTTTTGGTTTTTGCTCTATCTCAATCATTTCAGAAAATAAATAGTTTTGTTTCCAGTTTGAAGTGGAACCTAGGCAGCTGGGCAGTATAGTAGACAGAGCACTGAATCTGGGAGTTGGGAACACCCGAGTTCGCATCCTACCTACCTCACTCACTGTGTGACCCTGCACAAGTCACCTAAACTTTCTCAGCCTCAGTTTCCTCATCTGTAAAATGAGGGTGATGATAACAGCACCCACCTCCCAGGGCTGTTGTAAGAATCATATGAAGTAATACATATAAAACTTTGTAAACCTTGAAGCATTATATAAATGGGAGGGGAGGGAACTATGCACCAGGCACTTAGCTAAGTACTTTATTAATATTATCTCATTAACCCTGGGAAATTGGTGCTATTGTTATCCCCATTTAATAGTTGAGGAAACTAAGGCAAACAGAATTAAGTGACTAGCCCAGGGTCACACAGCCAGTAAATGTCTGAGGTTAAATTTGAACTCTGGAAGATGACTCTTTCTGACTCCAGGCATGGCACTTTATCCAGTGCAACACCTGTCTATCTATCATTAAATTTTGGTGAGGTTCATCAAAATTTCTGAAAATTCTACTCCTAGTATGCAGGTCAATCTGGGTTCTTAGAGACTATAAATTCTTTGACTATTGCAACCCACAAAACAAAGAGATCCGTAAGTCTCTCTGTGACTTTAGCAGTGACAGAGGCAAAGTGGTAGGAAACGGAACTCAGTTTTCCCTTCTCAGTTTTTAAAACTTTCCAAAAGCATTAATTCAATTTTTGATACTACAAGTGAGAGTCTTATCTATTACAAGAGAGAATGAACTCTATTCATACTGACATATTCTCTATAAATCAAACCAGAAAATGTTAAATAAGTTTGCAGTTCAATTTGGAAGATGAGCTCAATGGTTCTCTTTAAAGAAAATAAGAGTTGGTGGAATCGGTTTCATTGTGCATCCAAAGGGAACATGAACCAACACTTCATGGAATACTGTACTGTATTATATGTATATGTAATACTGCCTTGCAGTGCTAAAGATAAGCTTAAGTAAAAGGACCACCAATAACACGTAACTATGCCTTATGTTCCAAAATCTGTTAAGTCAAGGAAATAAAGAAATTATAAACAAGAAGAAATATGAAGGGCAGTTAGGTGGCGCAGTGGCTAGAGCACCGGCCCTGAAGTCTGGAGTACCTGAGTTCAAATCTGGCCTCAGACCAAACACTTGACACTTACTAGCTGTGTGACCCTGGGCAAGTCACTTAACCCCAACTGCCTTAAAAAAATAAAAAGAAAGAAAGAAAGAAAGAAATATACAAGATCTTCCAAACCAAGTCAATATTAACAAACAAACAAAAGACTCCAAAAGTTTATAGACTACTCAGAAGCCTCAAACATAAATATATATGCACACGTATACAATACATATGCACATATATGTATATGTGTACATGTGTGTATATATACATGCATGCATATATAAATAAAATGAATAGCAACCCAAAAATCATCAAAAAAATTAAATTGTCTATAGTTTACTAGAAGGCTGGGAAAACTGGAAAGCAACAAGGCACAAACTAGGCATAGACCAATATCTCACACCATATACCAAGATAGTCAAAATAGATACATGATTTAGACATAAGCAAATTAGGAGAGGAAAGAATAGTATACATGTCAGATCTATGGAGAAGAGAAGAATTCATGACCAAACAAGAGACAGAAAACATTATGAAATGCAAAATGAATAATTTTGATTACATTAAATTAAAAAGGTTTCGCACAAACAAAACCAATGCAACCAAGATTAGAAGGAAAGCAGAAAGCTGGGAAATAATCTTTACAGTAAGCGTCTCTGATAAAGGCCTTATTTCTCAAATATACAGAGAACTGAGCCAAATTTGTAAGAATACAAGTCAT